CCATGTGAGGAGGGATATATTCCTCGGTTAACGGTAGCACACGTGGTGGAGTAAAACTGGGTGAGACCAAAGTGCATTGATCCGATGGCACCAAGACCGTGTGGGTCATGTGCCATTTTTGCATCACTTGTATAGCCCGTAACTGGTAACAGCAGCGTTTGTCAATTATAAAACCAGTCATGAATTAAGCGTAGGGAAAATGAGAAGTCATGATGTGGTTTGGATTACTCCATGCAAACTGCATCATCTGTAACTAAGATTGGAGTTGTGATTGTCAGGTGGTGTACAAATTTCACTAAAAAGCTGTATAACACACAACACACTGATCCACGAAAAGATGTACTGTAAATTGCTACATTCATGGTGTGTACAGTATGTATGAAGCTAATTACATCCCCCAATGGAACTACAAATCCCCCACATAACTGTTTATGGTATCATGGCTGCAATTCTAATAAATAAAACAATAAACATTAAAAGTTGATCATATTTATTTATTTATTTATAACTTTTATTGTGTTTATTTTTTACTAGAAAAAAAAGGAGAATCAACTCTGTCCAAGGGATGCACGTTGATTCTGTGAACGAAAGAAACAAATATGATACACGCGGAAATACTAAATTCATGAGCTGACATTTCCTACTGTTAGGTTGGAGCGGGAACAAAAGAATAATAAAAGTTTATACACAAAACAGGAATATGGGTAGTTTACAGGTCAACCATAAAGCGTAGTGTGAATGCTGGAAAATGCAACAATAACAAATAGTAATTTGAAAGACATAAAAAAAACGGATGTCCTGTATTTAAACGGACACTATAGTCACCAGAACAACTACGGCTTATTGCATTTGTTCTGGTTAGAATAATCATTCCCTTCAGGCTTTTTGCAGTAAACACTGTTTTTTCAGAGAAAATGTAGTGTTTACATTACAGCCTAGTGATAACTCCACTGGCCACTCCTCAGATGGCTACTAGAGTTGCTTCCTGGGGCAGTGAATGTGCAGCACTGACATTCAGTGTCTCCAAACTCTGCATGGAGTCACTGAACTTTCCTCAATACATCTCTATGAGGAGATTCTGATTGGCCAGGGCTCTCTTTGGTTCTGCCCCTGATTTGCCTCCTTGACAGTCTCAGCCAATCCCATGGGAAAGCATTGTGATTGGCTCAGAGAATCAGGTCAGATTATGTCAGCCAAGCAGGCAGATCAGGGCAGAGCCAGCAGACTTGAACAAAAGCAAGATTTAACTATATTTAGGTGGACAAGGGTGGGAAGGAGGGCTAAATGGTGGTTTTAACATTATAGGGACAGGAATACATGTTCCTTACCTTATAGTGTTCTTTTAATGTTTGAAGTGTTCCTTTAACCCGATCAATACAAGACCAACCCAGTGCTGTCTTAACAACATTATGGGCCTCTGGCCAAAGCAGTGTACTGGGGACCTGCCTAAACAACAACTCACAGGATTAAAATATACATTATAGATAAAATGAAGCTTATATTTATTAGTACCTCCAGCAAATGCAATACATACATACAATACATACACACAGACTGCTGAATACATTCACACACCGATTGCTAATTACATACACACACTGACTGCTGAATACATACACACAGACTGCTGAATACACACACACAGAGAGACTGCTGAATACATACACACACATACTGCTGAATACATACACAGACAGACTGCTGAGTACACACAGAAAGATTACTGAGTACACAAAGACAGACTGATGAGTATTTACACACAGTCCACTGAATACACACACAAACACAGATTGCTGAATGCATACAGACTGCTGAGTACACACACACACACACACACTGCTGAATACACATACAAAGATTGCTGAATGCACACAGACTGCTGAATACACATGTACTGCAGTGAAGGGTGCAGTGGCTGTGTTTATGTGTATGGGTGCTGTGTGTGTGTCTGTGTGTGTGTGAGAGAGAGAGAGAGAGAGGGGTGCTGTGTGTATGAGGGGTGCTGGGTGTATGTGTGTAGGAGTGGTGCAGTGTGTGTGTGAGGTGCTGTGTGTTTGTTTGGGGGTGCTGTGTGTGTGGGTGGGTGCTGTGTGTGTGGGTGTGTGTTGCAGAGTTTTAGAGGTGCAGGTAGCAATTTAAAAAAAATAATACTAAAAATTAATAAAATCTTCATGTCACCCCCCCACCCTTCTTCTTACATTTGGTGAAGGAGGGGGGGACACAGCCAGCCCTGGTGGTCCGGTGGTGGTGAGTTGTCTATAGACTGCAGCTCCTCTGGCTGCAGGCTGTCTCCTGTTCTCTCACGCGCAGAGTGCTGTGTCGGAGCATTACCATGCCACGCTCCACACAGCCTTCTCATGGGAGGAACTGCCTCCCAGATCCGGCCTCTGCTGCAGCCATGGGTTTTCCCTCCCTATCTCTCTCCCTCCCTATCCCCTATCGAAGGGCCTTTGGGCTGGTGAGGGAGATCTCTGATCTCCCCACTGGCCCGAGAGGACCCACGACAAGAAAACATGGCCAACTCTGCATGGGCCAGCAGGGGAGATCAAATGATCTCCCTTATCAGCCTGGGCAAATGGGCAGCATGGTGGGGGCCCCATGCCTGTGGGGCCCCTGGGCAACTGCCCAGCATGCCATGTGGAAAGACGGCCCTGGACCAGCCCCCCCATCCATACACCAAAACATTATACTTACTAGACTGTCATCAACATTGTTTGCTACAACCGAGGTACTACAATCTTTATGGAGAGATAGAAAGTAGAAAGCAACCGCGCCCAAAAATGATGTACAGAAATTAATACAAACACCGGTCTTTGAAGGTTGTATACACATTTGACCTTTAAAGATAAAGAGCAGAAGAAATAATAGTAATAGTGCAGTACAGTATGTACAATGAATACTTGGTGTGTAATCTTGTGTGATTTCACTCACATTTGGTTGAGCTAATTCAGAGCTCAGCTGTTATAGCGCATGGACGGAACAATCCGCGTCTAAAGATATGTGATGGTATAGGTGTCCAAAATGTCTCATATGAAGTGCAGTATGCAGGACATATATAGGAGTAAATACAAAAAAGATACTCCAATGGTGAAGTAAGTACTAGTGAATATAAAGTGAAAAGATGAGGTAATGTACTTACATTTACCAGAGCAGAACTTGCTCTAGTATATACAGCATGGGTGGTACAATCCCCACCTAGGAGTAGGATGATAACAGGAAGTAGTGGATGGAAAAATAAAGTATAAATATAAAAACATAAAAAATACTATTTATTTACCATACAAAAAACAATAAAAACAATAAAAAATAGCTTTGGGAGTCCCACTTTTTTTCTTAAAAGACCTGTGTACGTATTAATTTCTGTACATACTTTTGGGCGCGGTTTCTTTCTATCTCTCCAATTTTAACTATCCACAAGGTTTGGGAATCCTTGTATTAGTTACTGCAGCCCATACTCATCCTGCGCCAATTTTTTTCATCTTTTCACTACTATCTTTTCAATGCTTCTTCTGTCCAGTGCTTTTGAGGACACATACTCTTACATTAGAGTGAAGGTCTGTTTGCTGCAGATGGAATAAGTTCTAATTACTGTAGATGGACTATAGCTATTGAAATATACATAAGTATATCATTTTTTTGAATCTTGAACTAAGATGAATTCTGTTCAGTTCATATTGTTCCTCATGGATGCCACCATTACATCACATCATTCCTCATACCTGTTCCTCATGGGCACCGTAATCTTCCTTGTGCTGCTCCTCTTCCTCTTCACCAAGAGCCAATGTCACTGCTGTACTCTTGTGTATGCTGAGAGTACAGAATTGAGGTCTATGAGGAGATCCTGCGAGACTGTGGGATCCTCCATAGACACAGCAAATTCCCTGCAGATGTCACTGATGATGGCTGTCAGGAAAGTCAGGCAAAAAAAAAAATACAGAGACAAAGATATCCCTACTTTGTATCTGTATATTTTTTGACTGGGTTGGAATCTGAGTGAAATTCCAACACAGTCAAAATTAGTATTTCATAAAGAATCTATCTTCATGAAATACATGTTTTTCAGGGAAAGGGAAGAAACCAGTGTCACTTTAAACAAGCAACTTCCCTAAGTGTGTCACAGTACCATTCTGAACACTTCCTGTTTCCAAGAATTTCTATGAAGCTGAGTATAGGTTAGCACAATTACGATTTGAGGTCTTGTCCCTATATTAGAGCATTATGGAGCATTATGGAGTTCCAGAACTCAACAACTTGCACTGTCTAGGCATGAATAGTGATAATGATCTACCCCCATCTTTTGGGGGGATAATTTGCTTTCCTAAAAAAATGCTCTATTTCCACTTTTAATGTATCATAGTAAAATATACCTGGGAAAAAAGTCTGCGCTATATACAATCGTCTTCAACTACATCCTTGTTTAGTGAGAGCTCACTGAAAATTTAAAATTGAAGCAAACTCTATCACTGCTTGTTCCTTAAAATAACAAGCAAATAATGCAGGTTTTGCCTGGCAATTTCCAATGTTCAGCATGTAGAACATTTAATTTCTGTGTTAGCAGACTGCCATCTGCTGGCCATAATGTTTAAAGAGAAAATTACTTTATCCAAGGACTATACGGTGCAAGTTGACATTTAATCCAATTCTAATTATTCTAACTGTATATATTTATCATTAGGTAAAATCTAGCTCGTAACTTTTTGAAACATTTGACTTTGGCAAAATTGAGAAATATTATCCCACTAAAGAGTCATATTACCTCAGGATTATACCAGCTCAAAACCTGATCGTCGTATGAGAATGCTAAAAAAAAAATACTCTTTATCCCACTAAAGAGACATATTACCTCAGGATTATACCAGCTCAAAACCTGATCGTCGTATAAGAATGCTAAAAAAAAAATTACCCTTAAAAACATTACTGAAGATGTGGAACTCAGGATTAAAGTGGTTTCTGACAATTTACAGCCTTGTCTATAAAACCGCATATAGGCACAGAGAAGACATAAATAAAGAACTGATGATGAGATAGTTTCAGAGATACAATATTATGTAATTATTTTCCTAGCATTTCATGAAAATAAGTTTTTTTTCAGTGTTTGAAAAAACAAACATTTTAGTAAATACCATTCCAAGAACAGTCCAAATATACAATGACTGATGTTAATTGACATGTGGATAAATTCAGCAAGTAAAAAATCATGGAGATTTGGGAAGGGAATCACACATGTTTCACCATTTAACTAAACAGAAAATTAATTGAGATGGATAGTTCTTCCAATTCACCCATGGTAAGTAGGATAATAAGTAAAACAGCCTTCAGTAAAGTCCTCTCTAAGAACCCTAACCATACCAAACCACTACAGAATGTTGCAGCGGTGCCATGGCTATGGTGTCAGTCGTACAGACTGTTGTAAACATTCTTATGTTATCTAGTAATTGTATAACTGTATTTACACCCACAGATCTTATATGTTTGTTAGTCTTCACCCGCATAGCTATCCTGACAGAATTTCCCACCAAGAGGGGCCGAGACCCAGGGGCGTTTTAGCCGCGAGGCAAACAAGGCATTTGCCTTGGGCGGCATTTTTCAGGGGGCGGCTAACAGACATGCTGGGCTGGGCAGGCGGCTGGCGAGGGAGCACTTCCCCTGAGCGATCTGCTCGGCTCCCTCGCGCGCCGCTGAATGAGGCAGGGAGCCGGAATATGACGTCATCTTCCGGCTCCCAGCCTCATTCTGCGGCGCTCGAGGGAGCTGAGCAAACCACTCAGGGGAAGTGCTCCCTCGCCAGCCTCCCGCCCAGCCCAGCCCGGCAACCACTGGACCACCAGGGAGGTAATGAACCCCTCCCCCCCCAGCACTCCCAAAGGTAAGGAGGTTGGGGGGGGGGGGGCTTAATAAAAAAAAATGTGTTAATGTGAGTGAGTGAGTGTGTGTCTGTTAATGTGTGTGTGTTTTGTTAGTGTGTGTGTGTGTGTGTCTGACTGTGTGAGTGTGTGTGTCTGCTAGTGAGTGAGTGTGTGTCTGTTAGTGTGTGTCTGACTGTGTGTCAGTGAGTGTGTGTTTGCCTGTGAGTGTGTGTGTGTGTGTCTGTTAGTGTGTGTGTGAGTGTGTGTCTGTTAGTGTGAGTGTGTTTGCCTGTGAGTGTGTGTGTCAGTGAGTGTGTGTCTGTTAATGTGTGTGTGTTTGTGTGTGTGTGTGAGTTTGTGTGTGTGTCTGCTAGTGAGTGTTTGTTAGTGTGTATGTGTGTGTCTGACTGTGTGTCAGTGAGTGTGTGTGTGTGTCTGCTAGTGAGTGTGTGTGTCAGTGAGTGTGTGTCTGTTAGTGTGAGTGTGTTTGCCTGTGAGTGTGTGTGTCAGTGAGTGTGTGTCTGTTAATGTGTGTGTTTGTTAGTGTGTGTGTGAGTTTGTGTGTGTGTCTGCTAGTGAGTGTGTGTCTGTTAGTGTGTGTGTCTGACTGTGTTTGTCTGTTAGTGTGTATGTGTGTGTCTGACTGTGTGTCAGTGAGTGTGTGTGTGTCTGCTAGTGAGTGTGTGTTGTGTGTGTGTGTGTGTGTGTGTGTCTGTTAGTGTGAGTGTGTTTGCCTGTGAGTGTGTGTGTCAGTGAGTGTGTGTCTGTTAGTGAGTGTGAGTGTGTCTGTTAGTGTGTGAGTGTGTGTTTCTGTTAGCGAGTGTATGCGTATCTGTCAGTGAATGTGTGTGTGTGTGTGTGTATTTAGAAGGCGGGGCGGGGGGAAGGGTTGTGGGGGCTGGCCCGGTGTGGGGGGGGCGCCTGACTTTTGTCCTGCCTAGGGCAGCACAAAACCAGGATACACCACTGCCGAGACCACTCACCATTATTAACAGGTGTGCTCATTACAGACGGGCAGGGTTATTCACTAGCATGAGGATTCAAAGTGAACTTCAAATTTAAGGCCCAAAAAAATTGTTATATCAGCTATGCTTCTAGTTCGACTACTTTGTCCTAAACTTTGAAATTCACTTTGAATTCTCACTCTAGTGACTTACCCTTATTTGTGTCAAATATTTGAGTAGCAGAAAGATATGAAGATAAGTCACTCAAGTCTTTTTACTGAAACACATCTTTCAACTGTAAACAATGTACAAGATAATAAATTAATTGTAACCAAGGTCACCATGAGGGGGGTAAGTCAGTACTGTCTGGGCCCTACACTCCCAATCTACGTGTATTTTTGGCAAGTACTGCTATATAGATATGTACTTGCAGTTCATATGCTGTAGAATAATGAAGACAGAGTCAATGAGACACCAAGCCCTCCCTCCGGCATCCACTTGCGAGTCCCGACTGCCAAAATGTTGATGCAAGTAGCCATGGCAACGCGCAGTGCGGCATTCAATGCATGCCAGGCTCGTGAGAGATGGAGGCAGTGGAAGATGAGACTGCTGGGCCCTCTCTTCACTCTAAAAGCTGCTGTGCTCCCAGACCCCTATGGAAACTAGTGCCCCTCTGCCTGGCCACAGCTAAGAGGCAGGGAGGAGGGAATAAACTGACACACACCACATCCACTGTACATACACTGCATTGGCTTTACTGATCCAAGTGGGTGGACTCAGGGCTGGCCTTAGGGGTGTGCAACCTGTGCGGCCGCACAGGGCACCATGGAGCAGGGGGCGCCATGTGGCCGACACAGCTCACTCATGGGCGGCTTGGGATAAAAAAAAAGAATAATAATAATAATAATTTGCGGCGGGGGCTGAGCTTACCTTGCGGCGGGGCTTACCTGAGGCAGGGGTAACTATGTGTGATTGTCTGACTGTGTGTGTCCCTGTCTGTGTGTTTGACTGTCTGCCTGCCTGTGTGTGTGTTTGTGTGTGTGATTGTCTGTGTGTTTGACTGTCTGCCTGTGTGTATGACTGTCTGCGTGTGTGTGTGTGGCTGCCTGCCTGCCTGTGTGTGTGTGTGTGTGTGGCTGCCTGCCTGTGTTTGACTGTCTGCCTGCCTGTGTGTGTGTGTGACTGTCTGTGTGTTTGACTGTCTGCCTTTGTGTGTGGCTGTCTGCCTGTGTGTGTGTGTGTGTGTGTGGGGCTGTCTGCCTGTGTGTTTGAGTGTGGCTGTCTGTGTGTGACTGCCTGCCTGTGTGTGTGGCTGTCTGCCTGTGTGTGTTCGTGTGTGTGTGTGTGTGTGGCCGTCTGTCTGTGTGTGTGACTGCCTACGTGTGACTGTCTGGGCAGACTAGATGGGCCGAATGGTTCTTATCTGCCGTCACATTCTATGTTTCTATGTCTGTGTGTGTCTGGCTATTTGTATGTGGCTGTCTGTGTGTGACTGCCTGTGTGTGTGTGTGGCTGTCTGCCTATGTGTGTGTGTGACAGGGTGTGTGGGAAGGGGGAGGAAGGGGAAGGAAGGAGTTGGGGGGGAAAGGGGGACGGGAAGGGGGGGCGCTGTGAAGATTTTTCACACAGGGCACCCAAAGGCCTAAGGCTGGCCCTGGGTGGACTTGGGGTTGGGCCCTATGGGGCCTCGAGTTGTGTAAGGGGCCACAAAATTTCTGATGACAGCCATGATTGTAACATTTTAATATAACAAAGTTACTATGGTAACAATACTGCAACTGATGAAATGGTTTTGAATTATAGCATTTGGACCACTCACTGATGGAAAGAACAATTCACTGGTTTACTAGTCTTCCACGGATCAGCAGCGTAGAATTTTTAGTACTAGGTAGATGTAATTTAATTTCTACTGTATTTCATCAAGGTCGTTTGTCTTTAATTAAATAGCTTTATGTTTTCTCCACACAGAGAAGAAATTTGCTGCTTTATTCCACACATCACAAATAGTTTTTTCAAGGTAAACACTTCATTTTTATACCAGTTTTTATTTCACCTCATTAGTTTGTGTTACTGGTGACATATAAACTGTGATTTTCAAATTGCTTTTCACATCGTTGTTTGGGTGTAAAACAGTCCTCTTCTGTTAAGAACGTTGCATTACTTGATAACTCTATGCAAGCAAGACGGTTCTTTCTTCACCTCTTCTTAATGTTGCAAACTGTCCTTTAATTTTCAGAGAGGAGAATCTTTCATTGAGTGTGACACTGGTCTATGAAGAAAGAAAACATCACATTGCGTTAATAGGTTTTAAGCTGAATAAGTTCTTGGGTAGTGCTTCATTATAGTTTATTGCACATACTGTTTTTTAAACATGAAGTATATGGTGGGAATCTGTTAATATAAAATATTAGCAAATAATAGAAACAGAGCCACGACAACGTATAGTTTACAGATGTTTTATTGGAACAACAATAAATGGCAATAACTGGAATAAAACAAGCGTACATATTTTTGAAAAACATATTGCCCATGAAACTATCTCTCATAACTCACTTGTCCGTCTAGTGCCTATACCATTTCCCATCCATAATGAAGTACTCTGTTCTACTCATTTATGTTATTCTCTGTTCCTCGTCAACTGCTTTCACTGCCAGGCCCTTAAATTGATCCCATTTACCCATGGAAAAAAATTCAAGATTGTGAACCTAAACAACAGAGCCCTGACACAGTTGCCCATTATCTCTCTTTCACTCCAAAAATTCCCCTAACATCTTGGACCTCCCCATGATTCACACATTTCTTCTGTCATCTCTTCCCGAAGAATTCTTCATCAACCTGTTATATTCTCTTCATCATTTAACAGCGTTTAGTGTTCTCTCCAGTCTCGGAGAAGAATAATACTTATCCCCCACTAATCTGAAGTTTTCTATATGTGACTTGTTCCTTCACCTGTTTTTCAGCTTAGGCTTTCATTATATATTGAATAAACCTTACCTATTAACCTGACTGCCACATTTATATACAACAGGAAAAAGACACATATTCCGCATGAAATGCGTCCAACTCGCTTGGCATGGGGTATGTGTCTATCTCTCTCCTTTTTCTCACCATGTACGTGCAGCATTTTGTTTCATGTGTTTTATGTTATTTATCTGCCAGTGTTTTAATATTTTGCATATGTTAATGAATAGTTAATAAAGAGAGGAATTATTTAATTTACTCTGGAGTATTGTTCCTTTTTGATGGAGTGAATTACTGTGAGAATTAATGTACTTTTGTTTTCTGGGTGTAACTCGAATGTGCACTCTTAGGGAACAATTAGTACCTCCTGTTTTTTTTGGTTTTTTTTTTCTAGTGGGGAAGCAGTATTAGCAGTTTAATTTTTAAGAAAGTATACCACCAAACCAAAGATGATAATGTCACAACATTTCAGATAACCAACACGTCCTCCGAGTCCGATACCTACATGATTAGCCATTGCTCGGAAGTTGAATCTCAGTGGGACTCCTTTCGGTAAAGGAGCTTTGGATTGCACAGCTGGTTTTCTGAATCTCAAACTGGTACGTGTCATTCCTGGTCTGTTAGGTCTGCAAGAGAAGACAGTATGTGATGTACAACATTTAAGTTAAAAATAAAATTACATAATTGTTTCACCATCAAAGTTATTTTTTTTTAAATTCACTGCTGTCACAAAAAAACAAAATACAGTTCATACTGTCCCTTTACCTTCCATATTAATTCAGCACTAATATTTACCCTACGTATTAAAAATTTCATCTTAAGGTCTTCATTCTCTTCCTCTGCATCTCAACAGAAGGACTGTAGCTTCCAGCTTCTTCTCATACTTTAATCAAAATGGTTTCTAATCAAAAATGTTCATGACTTCCCGACATGAAGTGAGATTGAAAAGAAAAAGCCATGATAATAGTGAATACGCTTTGTTGTGATTTGCAGTTTGTAACATGCTATATACAACAGACGCTACACGTAATGCATGTGGTCTGTATTTTTAACATCTTAGTGGCATTTTTGAAAGTTTCAAGGAATTCTAGGAATGGTAGGTCATTAGCATCTGATGAGCCAGAGTTTGAGAGCCCTGCTCTATACCCTATGCCAACTTATTAAGCTATAGAACTCTTAAGAGCTATACAGAAAGCAATTCAATAGGTAATTCCAGTTTGAAATAAGATCCTTAAAAATTAATTACTTTGCTAGCTTTGCCAGCACTGTGGCAGATGTAGTCTACAACATTTGGAGTGACAAAGCATGCCCACTCTTGGCACAGACCATCATTGTTCCTTAACCCCTTAACGCCGTTACGGCGTTCTATGTCATCTCAATTTAAATGGGCTTTAAAGCCGCTGCGGAGGCATAGAACGCCGTAACGGCTTGCAGCCCCAGGAGCTCAGCAGTACTTACCTCTGCCGCAATCCTCTTCGGGAGGACTGCAGCCCTCCCCTGGCAAATCAGGCCCCCTATAGCTGGCTGTGGATCTGCCAGCAGGTGGACTGTCTGGAGTGTCAGACAGTCCCCCTGCTGGTGGGGAGTAGTAAAAAAATAATAATTAAACATGTTAAAATAAATTAAATGTATTTTTATATATATATATATATATATATATATATAAAATATATATATTATATATATAATATATATACGTAACATCATACATAGTGTATTTTAATGTTAATATAAGCACATATATTAGTATTAAAATTCACTTAGAATGACGTTACATACATATAAGATGTATATATTATATGTAATACATCTATATATTTTATATTTATATATACACGTATAATTACAATAATAAATATATAAAATAATAAAATTAATAAATAAAATATTTTTAAAAAACTTAAAATAAATTATATATATGTAATTTCATTCTAACTGTATTTTATTATTATTAATATATATATATATATATATATATATATGTAACAAAATACACTTAGAATGACATTCTATATATATCTATCTATATATAAAATACAAATAACCGCAAATATATACATACACATAAATATATATAATTACATAAATAACTACATAAGTGTACACGTAGACTTTAAATACATATATATGTATATATATTAAAATTCTACATATATATTTAAGTAATATTTTAACATAATTATGTGACTTAATTAATTAAAATTTGATTGACATGCCTGCAGAAAGTGCAGAGAATTTGAATTGCAAGCACTATATTTAACCCTGTAACTTTCCAAGACACCACAAAACATGTACATGGGGGGTACTGTTTTACTCGGAAGACTTCGCTGAACACAAATATTAGTGTTTCAAAATGGTAACTTGTATTACAACAATGATATCTTTAGTAAAAGTGAAATTTTTTGCATTTTTCACACACGAACGGCACTTTTACTGACGATATTATTGTTGTAATATGTTTTAATGTTTTAAAACACTTATTTTTGTGTTGAGTGAAGTCTCCCAAGTATAACAGTACCCCCCATGTACAGTTTTTATGGTGTTTTGGAAAGTTAGAGAGTCAAATATAAGGCATGCATTTCATTTTTTCACATTGAAATTTGCCAGATTGGTTACGTTGCCTTTTAAAACCCGATTGGTAGCCCAGGAATAAGAATTACCCCCATGATGGCATACCATTTGCAAAAGTTGACAACCCAATGTATTGCAAAGGGGGTATTTCCAGTCATTTTTAGTAGCCACTTAGTCACAAACACTGGCCAAATATTAGTTTTTTGTTATGAATGCTTGCTTTGGCCAGTGTTTGTGACTAAGTGGCTACTACAAAAGACTGGACATACCCCACTTGCAATACCTTGGGTAGTCTACCTTTGAAAATGGTATGCTATCATGGGGGTAAATCTCATTCCTGGGTTACCACACTGTCTCAAAGGTAACATTACTAATCTGGCAAATTTCAATGTGAAAAAACTGAAAAATGGATATGTGCTATATTTGACCCTTTAACTTTCCAAAACACCTTAAAAACTGTTAATGGGGGCTACTGTTGTACTCGTGAGACTTTTCTGAATCCAAATATGTGCTTGTTTTGCAGTAAAAGCTAACAGTATCATGACATTTACAGCTAAAATGTGAGGCGGAACTACAATAAAAAAAAAAAAAAAATTCTCAGTTTTTCTTTTTTATTCATAATAAATTATGTTTCATATATAAATATTTAATATGAAATGAAAGCCCTGTTTCTCCTGAACAAACTGATATATAATAAGTGTGGGTGCACTTAATATGAAAGAGGTGAATTACGGGTGAACAGACATAAAGCGCAAATTCCAGTTTTTGTTTACATTTTGTTTTGATCAGAACGTGCACTATTGACTCCGTCCTGAAGGGCTTAAGCTGGGCCTTATGTATTTGTATTTATTTACCAATATTTGTCACACTTTCTGTGTATAAAAAAAGTCAGTTTTTCTGTAACTGTTTTAAATATCGCAAACTAATGAATATTGTATTTTATCTAACGTATTAATCTTAAAATATTTCTGAACAGGATGAACAATTACATGAAATAAAATAAAAAAACCTCTACAGCCTAACATCATTTTTTTAAATGTATCCCTGAGTATTAATCCAAACCTAAAAATGCTTTTCTATCCTACAACTAGCTGTGCAGCCTGTGTTTCAAATAAATGTTATAAAAAATATATTTTAAAATTAAAAGAACTTGGCAGTGAATGGGTTAAGCCAGATGTTGGTGAATAGACCATTATCTTTCAGTAAGAGACGTCACAAAGGAAAAAGGTATGTTACGCTACTCACAATTTGACTTGTTTTGCTTGCTGGTTTGGAACAGAAACTGTCAATGTTGATCCAAATCCGTTATCCATCTGCCATCTACTTAAGAACATAATAATAAAGTCTTCTATTTATATTGGTCATCAGGTGTGAAACTATCATTAAAATGCACTGCAGTGTGTGCTGGTGTTTACAAGGGGTTAAACAATATGTATACAATTACCTCCTTGCATTAGGCATCCTCTTTCCAGGATTGAGTGTGATTTGTTGTGTTAACTAGGAAGAGAATAAAAGACACAATTTTACATGTAAGCAGCAGATTTGAGCTTAATCTATTTATATCTAGATACATCTAATCCTCTGTGTAACAAGGATACATGGGTAGGTATGGAGAATAGATCACATAATTCCATTGTAAGCACTTTGATTCAACTGGAAACCAGCACATTTAATACTGAATTTAATGAATATTTAATATTTAACATTCATTTTTATGTTTGAAAATCAAGGTATATCTTGATTTTTTTCTTTAACATTGTATGTAATTTGTAAAACAGATAACAGATATAAATTTAAGAGGTTCATTCACCAAACTGCAAATGGCAGAGAACTAAAAACGGAATTGTAAAATTTAGTCCAAAGTTGCTGTTCTAGAAACATTTTTCCGACTCAGCTATCGTTAGATCTTGGATTTTTTAACATACATTTTGCAATTGGTTATCAATTCACTACGCTTGCATGTGCTTTGAATAAATCCCTATGTTTCTGAAAAATGCACTCAGTTTAAACATACTCTTCTATTTTGGTTGGGTGTACCCAATCTTTGTCTTCTTTGGCCTGAGTTAAACTGTGTTCTTCTGTTTTGAACATTGACTCTAAAACAAAGAAATAAAAACATTAAAAAACATTATTAATAAATGGTGCACTTGATTTTACAATATTTGCTGTCCCGTGTCTTCTACGTGTGAGATATCGTCACTTTTTGAAATGCATTTTTACATAAAATGTAAATGATCTCAATACAGGATGCACACAAACTTGTGTAAATCAGTTATAGTATATGTATTAAGGTGATCCTGTTTTGTTTTGTTTGTTTTTTTAACTTAAAATTATGACAAGAGGTGTTTTACTCTATGGTACTTGGTTCTTTGTAAATAGCTATCGTGGCTAACTCCTGTAGTGAGTATGACAACATTTCCCAGGATGCTCAATACGCTTCTAATTTGCATAGCAAAGTTTAGTCGCCAGTGGAATAGAGAGTGGGAAAAAAGCAAAATTAAACCTTTGTGTATCATTTAGTGAATATAACTGTTAAACTGAGAATACTTTGCTTTGGGTATATACAGGTGGTGTTAGTAAGGCTTCCACACTACATATAAAATATTGGAGATTCAAGACATCTAGTGGTGTAAATGAGGCACTGCACACATTACATAATCTTTTAAAAAATGTTATGACTTCTGTTTCAATATGTATTAAAGTTACTAAATTATTTAATACATTTACCAGCACACAATCACAAACCTCTGTGCACACTGTTGAATAGCAAGGGTGTTTGGTACCATTGTATGCCCACAAACTGTAGGTTTATCTGCCAACATAAAGGTGGGGTAATAGGCATTTTCAACCTTACACCTGTTGTAGCTTGCGGTCAGACAAATTAGACTATAATGGCTAATGTGTGGTTTTATATAATGCCATGTTACAATGTACCAGACTTCTCCAAATGTTCTCTTTTGCCTCATTAGAGATTTGCCACCCACAATTATCCTCCTAATTCAGCCTAAATATAACCTGGGAGTCTAAACCATGAATTGTGGTCTACTGACACACTAACAAATATTAACAGATGCGCAGAGTCGTGACTATTTATCAGTACAGCTAATTTTGATCAATACAGTGCAAAACTATTTGTTAATCACACAGCTCACAACATGTTTTCATTAATAAACTGTTGGTTTTGGTGAATATAACTGTTCCAAATATACATATATTCAGCTAAACAGCATAATTTATTCCTTATTTTACTAGTTTACCTCTTTGTCAAATCTTGCACTGGGGTGACTGCAGGCCTGAAATATTTTTGTTGCTGTGGGCGTCTCACTTGGGTTTGAGATCTGTATTGAGTATTCTGCAAATACACATTGTGTTAGGGTTACAATAAATGAGGGTACAGAGACATATGTAAACCCTTGCCTTACACAAACCCCAAAGCAAACCAAGATTGATCGCCTGGGGCAATCAATAGATTTAATGGTTAGTTTTCTGACCTCTCTTTGAATATGGGTATATCATATACAGTCCTATATCAAGTGTCAGAAGCAGATTAACACCCACAACAATTTCCTAGGCTACAATATAATGCAACAAGATAAAGAACAGTCAACTGAATAATTCTTGGTAAAAGTTGATTAGGAAGTTCACCAAATCCTACCATACATCAATGCCCCTTATTGCTATTATAAGAGCTACAGCAAATCTTTAACAAGCTTTGGATGTAACGTGTCATGGACTATTCTTTTTTATTATCTCCTCATTAGTCCTTATTGCTCTCATCCACCCGACTCTCTCTGCTCGTTGCGTCAATATTTCTGCCTCCATTCACTATGAACATTCTCCCCCATTCTGCACATATCCCTTCTTAAACTAACAATTGGGTTCAGTTTACTTGTTGTCCAACCTTCCCCTCTCTGTTCCGTTTGCTCCGTTGTACCCTGCTCGTTACTGTCTTTATTATGGAGAATGTATTACGTATTCCTTTGTTTATGTCCCCAGTGTTTGTTTTGTTGTGATACCTTTGCATTTGAATTCTGCTGGTTCGTTGTCCTTGATCTGTTTATGTTTGCTGCTCTTTTCCTTGTCATTGGGCCAGCTTGGTTATATTTAGGAGTGATTCCAAAACCAAATTTAGGCCTGTTGGATCCTGGTGAAACAAGACACATTATTATTTCACGTTTTATTTATTCAGTCCTAACAAATTACAATATGTTACTGCTTAAGGTAAATTTATAGGGATACTCCCTCCCAAACCATGAAAAAGAGCTTCTTGTATCATTCTGGTTTGAAATGTTGAACTTTATCTTATAAACCTCTAAAGCAACAATTCATGAAATATACAGAACTCTGGTGAGACCTCACTTGGAGTATTGTACGCAGTACTGGAGAGACCGTATCTTCAGAAGGATATTGATACTTTAGAGAGAGTTCAGAGAAGGGCTACTAACCCCTTAAGGACACATGACATGTGTGACATGTCATGATTCCATTTTATTCCAGAAGTTTGGCCCTTAAGGGGCTAAACTGGTTCATGGATTGCAGGATAAAACTTACCAGGAAATCTTAACATATATAGCTTGGAGGAAAGACGAGACAGAGGGTTATGGTAGAAACATTTAAATACATAAAGGGAATAAACTCAGTAAAGGAGGAGACTATATGTAAAAGGAAAAAAAAACTACTACAACAAGATGACATAGCCCTAAATTAGAGGGGCAAAGGTTTAAAAATAATTTCAGGGGCGGAGCCTGACCTTGGAAGGAGATGGACGCTTAGTCCTGCGGTTCCCTCTCTCCCCGTGCTAAAACCTGCTAACATCCGCGACCTCAGGCACCCCAAGACGGGAAAAAAGACACCCCTCGCAGCCTAGACCCGGGCACACCACCCGGGTATGGGAGGAATAAAAAAGAAAAAAGCAAATAACCCTTCCGTGGCCACGATCTTTCGATCGCAAAGTACACCTCGGCGGCCATCTTGCCGAACGGGAATGGCGAGCCCCAGCCTGGAACCGGACACTCCGGAGCACTTGCACGCAGCTGACCAGTCTATAACCAAAAGGGATCTCCAGATACTCCTCTCCGACGCCACGGCTGACATCAAAGCACACACGGCGGCAGAACTAGACCGCCATATACAGGGTCTGAAGGGAGACATAGAGGCCCTGGCACGACGTACCAACCAGGCCAAAACACAGCTTACAGCCTTGGCAGAATCCTCTCGGACCCACTCCCAAGATCTAACCTACCTCCACGGAAAGATTACATCCTTAGAGGAGGAATTGGAGGATTTAAATAACCGATCGAGACGAAATAATATCCGGGTCCGGGGCCTTCCTGAGTTCCCGGTGACCGCCTACAAGCAACATTACTGGGGTTGTTCCGGTCCTTGCTCCCGGAGGCTGTGGACAGGGACCTGGAGATGGACAGGGCCCACAGAGCACTCCGGGCTCCGGCCTTCAGCCCTGACACCCCTAGAGATGTCATCGTTCGTTTGCACAGATTCCCTATCAAGGAGCAGCTCCTCAGAAAAGCGCGGCAAAATCCGCCATCTTACTTGAACTGCAGGCTGGCCTTCTTTCAGGATCTGGCACCCCTGACACTCAAGAAACGCCGAGACCTCAAGCAGCTCACACTGACCCTCACTCATCACGGCATCAAGTATATGTGGGGGCACCCGTTCAAGTTGGTGGTCCGCAAAGACGAGCAGACCCACGTCCTCCATCACGCGACGGAGATGGCCCCCTTTGCGGCCTCCTTGGGCCTGGAACTCCTGCCGCCACCCTCACAACTTCCACGGAGGCCTGGGGGGGGACCCGGAGGGGCAGCCAGGGCAGATGATCACAACCCGCGCCATACACCACGGAGGAGAGAGATGACGGCGGGAGGCAGCCCCCGCAGACCATAGGCGCTACGCCGGAGGCTTGTGCTGACTCTTTTTCCCAGAGCGGAGGTGTGGTTGAACTGTTTGAACTCTTTGGTTTCCTCATGCTGCTTAACTGGACAGTAAGACCCGAGGGGGGGGGTGAGGAAGGGGGAGGGGGAGGCCACTAGGGCCAGATGGTTACAAGCAGTGGTGGGCTGGGGGAGCTGGGTGCCACCAGGGACGAGGGGGGCGGGCCTGGCCCCGGAGGGGGGTAGGAGAATGTGAGCTGGGGACCCTGGCGGGCTGCGGAGCCCAACCCCCCCTCCCCAGCAAGTGGTCCTCCCGGGGCTGTAGGGGGTATGGGGGGTCTGGCCGCAGGGGGGGGGTCACCACTCTCACTGCCCACGCTGGCGGAGCGGCCAGGGGAGGGGATGTGGGACTATGGGACGGAGAGGGTAGAGGTGACTTGCTAGGCTACTTTCCCCCTGACAATTCTCGGCAGTACAAGAGGTTTTGGGTTGTACCCTGGGTGACCGCACACAGCGTCCTCCCTTCCCTAGGCAAGATCTAAAGATGGTCAGGTACACAGACATGACACAGGGGTATACGAGAGGGTATGGTGGGGGGACCAATGGGTTCACACAGGGTTAGGGGGTCTTGGGACAGGTTTTAAGATGGGAGGGGGTCTCCCCGGGCATATCCATACCGCACACGCACTCAGACAACTTGACGGGGGGGGATGCATAGGGGACATAGGGCTTACACGAGTTCTTTAGGCACACCCGAGGCGGCATGGGGGGACACCCGACTTAGCTGAGGCATGCCGGAGGGCTTGTGCCGGACGGTGGTGACATGGGGAAGTGGACGCCTCCCGCTTCTGGGAGACTCTGGGTCAGTCGCAGCGCCTCAGTTATCGATGTATATAGTTGCCCACACGGTAGGGTGCGAAGTTATTAAGGGTTAACGTTAGACAAATTTCTAGTGCCAGGACTATCTCATTAATTGGCAGCGGGGAGGGGGGGCTGATAGTGGTGGCCCATCTCTTCTCTCACACCCTCCCCTTTCCACCTCATTTGATTAGACGCCCACATCGGGGCACAGACCCCACCTATTTTACCGCAGGGTCCCTTCACCCTCCTGGCTTGGCACTCTTGGTTTAAGCCCAAGCCTCCCTGCACTTATCTTAGCCCCGACTGGGGCTTGTTGGTCCCTCTTACCCTTCCCCTTTTCCCTGGACGGGGGGATTCCCCGGGCCTCCCTCCTTGCCCGCCAGACGCTCCCGGGACAGTCCATGGGGGACCCGGTCAATCCGGTGGGTGCGAAGCCTGGGGGGGCGAGACGCCCGCTCGCGTTAAAGTGCGTTTCGATCAATTGCAAGGGCCTGAATAACCCGGCCAAAAGACACCGCGTCCTCCGATGGGCCAACAGAACTGGAGCGGACGTCGTCCTCCTCCAGGAAACTCACTTCGAACAACAGAAAGCTTTCCCTCTACGCACCAGACACTACACGGACTATCATCTCGCGAACTCACCCTCGGGCAAACATAACGGGGTAGCGATTTTGGTCCGTAAATCCTGCCCGATTCATTTTAGCGGCACGATCGCGGACCCCCTGGGGAGATACTTAACCATCACGGGGCAACTAGGTTCATACAAGTATGCCATCACATCAGTCTATGCCCCCACGAAACCGTCAACGCACTTTTGGAGCCTGCTCCAGGCGCACTTGGGCCTCTTCCCCTCCCACCATATTATTCTGGGGGGAGATTTTAACACGGTACCACTCCCCGACCAGGATAGACGGCGACAGCCCCGACTGGACCCCCACCAGACATCTATGGCGAAAGCCGATAAATTATTGCAGACCTTCCTGACAACATCACAATTAGTGGATGTCTGGCGCGTCCAACACCCCACGACAGCAGATTTTACCTTCTTCTCACAGCCACATTCGTCATACTCCCAAATCGACATGTTCCTGACGTCCCCGTCATTGATACAGTTCACAGACAGAACACTTATAGGCCAGATCACGTGGTCCGACCATGCTGACATCACACTTTGGGTACAGCTTCCACAGGCGGTTAGGGCATGGACCTGGAGATTGAACCCCACGCTTCTCCACGTCCCACATATACAAGACAAAGTCAGGGGAGATATCCAAAGTTTTTTTGATACTAACAAGGGCTCAGTGGCATCGGATAGCACGCTGTAGGCGGCCCATAAGGCAGTAATTAGGGGAACCCTAATAGCAGAAGCGACAGCACACAAAAAACAAAAGCTGGCACAATTGGCACACCATCTCGCGGAACTCGGCAAAGCCGAGCGCCTTCATAAACAAACCCCCACCCCCGACCTTTTAAGGCAACTCCAGACACACAGACAAGCCATACAAACATTCATGGCCCAAGACTCCAAAAAAGCACTTCTCTGGACCAGACAAATGTTCTATGAGAAGTCTAACAAAGCAGACTCCCTACTGGCAAACAGACTAAGACGTAAAGCAACTCGCAAACGCATAACCACGATTAGGGACCCGGATGGGCGCACGCACGATGACCCGACTCAGATAGCGGAAATATTTCGCCGATACTACGCCGCACTATACGATCATAACCCAAGCGCTAGGCAAGACCCGCACACCCCTGTATTACAAGCGGAGGGCTTCCTGAGAGATATCCCCCTCCCACAGCTTACGGCAGAGGCTAGAGAAACATTGGCGGCGCCCATCTCGATAGAAGAGGTCGCGGAGGCGATTAAATCTCTCCGACCTAACAAATGCCCTGGCCCGGACGGTTTCTCAGGGCTGTATTATAAAACATACTCGGCGATCCTGCTACCACACCTCAGAGACCTATTCACCTCCATTTGCACAGGGGAGGCGATAACCCCGGACCTGTTACAAGCCAACATAAGTTTGATACCGAAACCAAACCAAACCCACCTAGACCCCGGACATTACCGCCCCATCTCACTCCTTAATGTGGACATAAAATTATTCACCAAACTTCTAGCAAACCGATTACAAGCACATCTCCCAAAATTGATTCACCCAGACCAAGTGGGATTCATCCCACACAGACAAGCCAGTGACAACACCAGACGCACATATGACTTGATCTGGGCAGCCACTCGCAAACAGACCCCCACATTGCTGCTTTCCCTTGACGCTGAAAAGGCGTTCGACCGCATACTGTGGCCATACTTATTCGCAACGTTAGAAAAGTTTGGACTACTCAATGACTTCCTGACGACAATCCGCAACTTGTACTCCTGTCCAACAGCATGCCTACTTATACCAGGCGCCCCATCACTCCCCTTCCGCATATATAATGGCACACGACAGGGTTGCCCCCTTTCCCCCCTCCTCTTTGCCCTGTCCCTCGAGCCCCTCCTCCACATGATAAGACTAAACCCCAATATTAAAGGTCTGAAGGTGCGACGGGAGGAATACAAAATAGCGGCCTATGCGGATGATCTGCTCCTGACATTGACGGACCCGGACACCTCCCTACCCCCCCTGCTGAACCTTTTAGAGGAATACGCGGTGACATCGGGATACAAACTGAATCTAGACAAGACAGAGGCGATGGCACTGTGTATTCCCCCCGGAGTAGACAGGTCCCTACGAGAAAAGTACCCATTCCGCTTTCGACCGGATGGAATTAAATATCTGGGAGTATACCTACCCTCGGACCTTAACTCGACATACCGACTGAATTTCCCCCCACTGATTGAACAGGCCAAAAAAGACCTGACGGACTGGCAAAAGCTATCTATCTCATGGTTGGGAGGATTGCCTCAGTGAAAATGAACTTACTCCCCCGCTTCCTATACCTGTTTCAAACCCTCCCCATCCCGATCTCTAAAACAGATTTCAAATCCCTGCAAACGCAGATAGATAAATTTATCTGGGGGGGGGGGAGGGTTAGGGTGAGACGGTCTACACTATATATACCACACAAGAAGGGGGGTTTGGGACTCCCGAACTTGTGGGAGTATCATCAGGCGGCCCAACTGGCGCAGATCCAGTCCCTCCACGCTCCGGCGGGAGTAAAGCTTTGGGTGGACTTGGAACATGATCTTTTCGGCAGAGACCACCCATCGCTGTACTTTTGGGTGCCGAAACACCACCGACCGGAGATGCCCCAGACCACGCCGGCCCTGCAGACGTCCCTACAAATCTGGGACAGGGTGACCCGCAAACACGACCTTGTACACATGCCCTCCCCGCTAACCCCTGTACTAAGAAACAACCAATTCCCCCCAGGGATGACACCCCGGCATTTTGTTCACTTTGAAGATAACGACCTAACCAGAATTTGCCATTTTTTCCGTGACACCCACCTCCTCTCATTTGCAGACCTGCCGCAAACCACTCCCCTCAACACATTTGATCACTTCCGCTACCTTCAGCTGCGGAGTTTCCTATCTGATCCAGCCATCAAGGCGGCGGCGACGGCACCGCCCACACACTTTGAAAAGATGTGTCAACACACACCCATTCAGAGAGGACAAATCTCCACTCTCTACAATGTTCTAGCTAAAAATGCCCCTCCAGAGGCTTTTGCATATGTGAGAGCTTGGGAAAAGGACCTGGGCCCCCCAGGCGACTCATCGGACTGGGCGGCTATATGGGAGGCCACGGCCTCCGTTACAATTTGCGTAAACCATAAGGAGCAGGCTTTTAAAACCCTACTTCGGTGGTACGTCACCCCCTTGAAACTCAAACAGATGCGACAGATGAATACTGATCGCTGCTGGAAGGGATGCGGGGCGCAGGGCACATACCTTCATATGTGGTGGGATTGTGAGCATGTCTCGGGGCTGTGGAGGGAAATAGCAGAGCTCACCTCCAGGGCTCTGCAGACGGTTCTCCCATTGGATCCGTGGACATGGTTGCTCTCCAAACCCATGGAGACCCTTCCCAGGGCACAAAATAAATTGGTGGCCAAGATAGCGCTGGCAGCGAGGAGAGCGATAGCAGCCCATTGGGGCAGCACGGAACTACCGTCCATGATGGAGGTACGGAAGAAAATAGAGGAATCCAGGGAGATGGATGAGCTGTCTGCCCTGGTTCACGAAACAACCAATTCGGCCCGGAAGATATGGGGCCCCTGGGATGCGGTTTAGCGCTGGCGGGCGGGGACTGGGGACCGGGGGGTCTCTCAGTCCTCCAGAAACGCTTCCTTCCCCAGTTACCCCTATTGGAATCCCTCTGTAGGTCCCTAGTACCCTATACCCCCATTGCCTTGACACGACTGCATATCAGTACGAACTGAGCCATCGGAGTCACACCACGATGGCTCTGCCACCCGATAACCGGGCGGAGGTACATGCAATAAGTAGATCGATATCTTTACAGCTGGACAAACTCCTGACCAGGTTGACCTTCTCAAATTCCTACATGAAGTTAGCTCTATCCTTGACTTAGTTCACAGGGCAATAGGCAAAAAGACATGCAGGCGGACCTAACTTCTCCAAACACACACTTAGACGAGTTAATTAAATGTACCCGTGCATACTTACACGTTCAATATACTAAACTGGAGTGGGGAATGGGTTCACTTTTGACAGCCTCCTCATGGGGGAGGGTAACTGCAATATGAATGCTGTTTGCACTGTGAATTGTGTTCCCCGAACCCTTCCCCCTTTTCTTTTTTCTGTACCCTTCTTTAAACCTGAACATTTTCAAAATAAAGAATTTATATAAAAAAAAAATAATTTCAGGAAGTATTACTTTACAGAGAGGGTAGTGGAGGCATGGAATAGCCTTCCAGCTGAAGTGGTAGAGGTTAACACAGTGGGGGAGTTTAAGCATGCGTGGGATAGGCATAAGGCTATCCTAGACTTATGATAAGGCCAGGGACTAATGTAAGTATTTGGAAAATTGGGCAGACTAGATGGGCCGAATGGTTCTTATCTGCCGTCACATTCTATGTTTCTAATATAAACTTCAGCTCCCTAGCCTCAGTTCTCTCATTATATTTGATGAGTGGATCTGCTTAATAAGCTGATGCCAGCCTTACCAGTGCTGCTTTCAGAGCTCTCTTAAGTTGCTGATCAAACATGAGCAAATGGAGAGTAATAATCATCATAATAAATAACTATTTTATGATGATACAGTCATAGAACATATGCATACATGCACAGTTACATAGGTTGAAAAGAGACGTGTCAATCAAGTTCTGTCTATTTTACATCCTTGTTTGCTGTTGATCCAAAAGAAGAAAACAAAAAATAGTTTGAAGCATTCTCCAGTTTTGCAACAGACTCAGAAAAGATAAATCTTTCTCAACCACAATGGCAGCCAGATCTCTCATTGGATGCAATAAACTGTTACCCATATTAAAAAGGATATCCTTGAATATTATGCTTTGGCAATAATCATTCAGTTGTTGTTTTAATATCTGTATAAACTCTGAAAAAAACACTTCTTCAGGCAGAGAATTCCACATCCTTATTGTATTTACTGTAAAAAAAATGTTTCCTTTGCTTTAGACTAAATCTCTTTTCTTCCAGTCTAAATGCATTACCTCGTGTCCTATGTATAGTCCTGTTTGAGAATAGATTTCCAGACAATGGTCCCAAATATATTTGTATAATGCTATCAAATCCTCCATTTCTTTTATTAATTTTGTAGCCCACCTCTGATTTTTTTTCTAGTGCCATAACATTCTTCTTTAGAACAGGTGCGTAAAATTGCACAGCAAATTCAAGTTGTGTTCTTACCATTGATATATGAAGAGGTACAATTATTATGTGACTGTAATGAAGAATATTGTAGGAGAATAACTATGATTTTTAATTTAATCGGTACTCAATATAAGTATACAAAGTTATTCTCTCAGTTATAAATAATCTGTAATTGATCAAGGAATTGCAAATTTTATACCAACACTGCCATACCTGAAAAAACCCCAACTTGGCTTTTTTTTCCAGATCACTTACTTTGGACTAAAGCATAAAATTCCTAGCAAACAGTTTTAAAACAAGAGCTATTTTGATCGATCAATGGATGTTTTAAGGTTTTAAGCAGATATACTTTAATAAAATTACATGCTTTTTATGATGCATGTAACACTTTTTTCCCCGCAAGTTCTGAGTTTTTTTTAACTAGTTATATGACTGAAAAATTTAAATAAAATAAACGATAGATCTGAAAAATAACAGCATATGTAACAAACCCTGCTGGTTTCTTGGCTTTCTTCTAAAACCAACTCTGTTTGTGAAGTTTCTGGCTTTGTTCCTTGGACTTGTTTGGATGTCCATGGGCTGGGTATCTGTTTCTTCATGTTGAAGCTTTATTATATCATCTGAATGAGGAACAGAATTACACATCGGAACTGTCACATATCTGGAATTTATACAATTAATTAAAGCAAAGCACATCATCTATAACTTGTATTATCTTATTCTTATTTTTTTCCCCAAGAGATTTTACATTTAAATTAAAGAGCTAGCAAAGGACATCAACATCCAGTTCAGACAAGGCAAAGTCAGTGCAAAAATTGCAAATAAAGAGTAAAAAATTGAAACATTGATTCATTTTTCCTCTTCTTTCTATACTTTCTCTATGTTCGCTGATTGGTGCAAAGAGTAAAGCTTTTAACAATGATTGCCAGGAAGTTAAAGATGGAGGTGAGCAGATTAAGGATAAAGAGGTGGGCATTTGCGCATTTTATTTATTTTTATACCGCAAAAATACATAGTTGTAAACGGATAAGTAAATCTAACATTAAAAAACGTGAATGGCAGTTCTATTTCAACCATGATTTTATTTGTTGCAAAGACACGTTTTTATTTCTATAAAATAGGTTTTTTTTTTACAACAGTTTTTATTTTACATATCATAAATAAATAAAAATGATACCTTCTACCACCCCTACCCCAGCAACCATGACGTCCACTATAAATCTATTTGCTTTAATTTTTTTAAATCAGGTTAGATTACTGAGATATGATTTATGATCAATTATAGCTAGTGATTCACACGGCTATTTTACAATGTACTTTTATCTCTAGTGTCCTCCTTAAATAATCCAAAGGATGCACTGTCATAGGAGAATGCCATATAAAGAAAATGCATAATGAATATCCAAGTTTATGATCTGTCCATCATCTGAATGTAGTGCACCGAGACATGGCAATTATCTATGCTGCCTGACACAGCCCTACATGAAAAGAAAGTCAGCACCGGATTTACCATCAGCAACTGCTGTCAGTCAATTGTAGTGTCAGAGTGAATGGATAATGCAGCTGCTTATCCCACTCTTTCTAGTTACGGAATCCTCTGCTTGCTATTATGCTGAGCAACTGAAGAATTGAGCCACTTAACCCATTGAGTTGCAATTTGTTGAATCATTAAATTTTCACTTTGCCATTCATTCTATTCATTCTATTGTGACTTCAAATAATGATTAGAATAATTCGTTTAAAGGAAACTCCAATGTAGATGTAATATCCATTTTGTGATGCATAATGTACAAAGGGCAATCAAGAAATGTACACATTTCAATATAAAAAAAAATGAATCTCCTTATTATTATTATTTTTATTATTATTATCTTTGCCATTTGATATCACTATTTGCATGTTTTTATCAGGCTCTGTTCCATGTAATCTTTTTAACCAGGAAGTGATTGAGATCTTCATTGGTTCGTGAATGAGACCACATTATCACTAATTTGTCTTAGACAAGAATAAATGGCCAACCAATCACAATCCCATTCTCTTATCTCTTATTTCTCTTGATAACGGAGCATGTGACCATTCTCAGCTATTAGTATATGGGTTTCTGGGACATAACACAGTTCTTGTCTAGGTAGCTCTCTTCATCTTGCAAGAGAAAGACAAGAGAGTGGAGCTAAGTTCTTTGGTTTCCTTAAGTGTCCCATTTTAAGGTTTGAATAGTGTGATGTAAGGAGGTGGTCTACAAAACCGAATGCATCCTGCCCATAATCTGAAGGCACAAAGATGAAAACATACTATTGACAAATTATATATATATATATATATATATATATATAGCTAGTATAGATTGATTGATGTGACAAATATCTCACCCTTGTGTCCACAGTAAGAGAATATAATTAAAATCGTAAAATGAGATACATGAAGGAACATAGGAGAGAACTGTGTTTTCGTACTCCTTATCTCCAGCTCCCTACCACTATAACACAGACCAAGAGAAACTGTATACTGTAAACTGTACCCATTACCTTACAAAAAGTATGCAACATGGGAGGTATGTATGAAGAAAGTGATTCCATTACCATTTGAATACATGAATATCATTAGCAGATAGTACTCTGATCAGCCGCAACATTAAAGTCACTGACAGGTGAAGTGAAACATTGATTATACCGTTAAAAAAAAGTCAGCTCTTGAATTTGATGTGTTTGAAGCAGGAAAAATGGGCAAGTGAAAAGATCTGAGTGACTTTAACAAGGACCAATTAATAATTGTTAGACAACTGAGTTGGAGCATCTCCAAACCAGCATGTCTTTTGGGGGTGTTCCCAGTATGCAGTGGTTAGTACCAGGCAAAAGTGGTGCACGGAAGGCCAACTGGTGAACCGTCATCAGGGTCATGGGCACCCGTTCCTCACTGATGCACGTGGGGAGTAAAGGCTTGCCTGTCTGGTCAGATCACACAGAAGAGCTACTGTAGCTCAAATTGCTAAAAAAAATAAATGTTGGCCATGATAGAAAGGTGTCAGAACACACAGTATGGTTTGTTACGAATGGAGTTGCTTAGCTGCGGACTGGTGAGAGTGCTCATGATGACCCTTGTCCACCACCAAAACCACCTTCGATGGAGATGTGAGCATCAGAACTGAACCATGGAGCAATGGAAGAAGGTTGCCTGCTCTAATGAATCATGTTTTCTTTTAGATCAGGTGGGTGGCTTGGTGCTTGTGCATTGTTTACCTGGTGAAGAGATGGCAGCAGGATATACTATGGGAAGAAGGCATGCTGGCGGAGACAGTGTTATGTTCTGGACAATGTTCTGCTGGGAAACCTTGGGTTCTGGCATTCATGTGGATGTTACTTTGACATCTACCTAGAGCTTGTTGCAGATCATGTCCACCCCACATGCCAATGGTGTTCCATGACTCTGGCTTCTTTCAGCAGGATAATACACCCTACCAAACTGCAAATATAATTCAGGAATAGTTTGAGGAACATGACAAAGAGTTCAAGCTGTCACCTTGTCCTCCAAATTCCCCAGATGTTGTTCCAATTGACCATCTGTGGGATATGCTGGAACAACAAATCCAATCCATGGAGGCTCTACCTCGCAACTTGCAGGACTTAAACAATCTGCTATTGATGTCTTGGTGCCAGATATCACAGGACATGTTCAGAGGTCTTGTGGAGTCCATGCTTCAATGTATCAGAGCAGTTTTGGCAGCACAATGGGGGCCTACACAATATTAGACAGGTGGTTTCAATGTTGTGGCACAGTGTGTGTCACAGTGCTACTACCAATATCATTGTATCTTTCTACAATAGATAGCATGCAATTTAATTGTCACATAATCTCAAAATAAATTTACCTGGAAGGTACATATCAAAACAAACAGAATCATGAAGATCAGAGGACTATGAAAATAAATTTGTGATAGTTCTGGAATAGCACAAATAAGGGTTAATTATAAAAACAAAACAACAACACATTTTGAAACATCCATTAGAGTTCCATTCAATCCACTATTTAAAAATGTAAAGAATATGGTACAACTATAATTTGTCATTAATCAGAGAAACAACCAATGGGAAGTGTTTTCATGACTGAGAACAAAGTGGCAGTATCTTTGCACCAAATCACTACATTAAGCTGCAGTGGTTCTGGTAATTAGTGCCCCTTTAACCATGTTGCATTTAACCCCTTAAGGACCAAACTTCTGGAATAAAAGGGAATCATGACATGTCACACATGTCATGTGTCCTTAAGGGGTTAATAAGGCAGTCAAAGAGAATGCACACACCTTAACACACCACCATCACCCATCAATATAAAATTACTATAATGACTAGTACCACATAAGGATTTGCAAGCAGTTTATATATAAAAGTACTTTTCTATCACAGCATGTCCATGTTTCTACCAGTGTAGCTCTCTCTAATGAGCCAGAAATAGCCCTAAAGGTGCACACTTGATAGAACCTTGAGAAAATTATTTTTCCAGTCCTCCCTGCTGATCCTTTGTTATAATGAAAGGACACCTCAACCTATTTTTTATACCCTTTCCTTAAAAAGACAGTTTATTTTTTTATTAAATAATGCCAAAATAGTTTGGATTCACTAATATTGGTCTTGAACATTTGGCTGAGTGCAATTCCTATTTTTCAGCTGTCAGATTCATTCTATTCATTAATGTCCCACTCAGCAATGCTTTTTATTTTTATCTGTTCTTAGAAAATGAAATAAGGCCTGAGGGGTAAACGCGATCTCCACAACGTTATGAAGCACAAAGATGAAAAGCAAGACTTCATAAAAAGACTAGACTCTGTCACTGTGTGTCAGGACAAATGCTAATGCAAAGTGACACCACAGACTATGCCGTAAATCTGTGGCAGTGTACTGATAAACAATGGAACAATTGCTTCCATAACTTAGTGCAACTTAAGATACATCAGGTTAAGTAAATCTAGATTGAATTACAGTTAAAATGATTCGCAAGTGGTTTTACATTTATTTTTCAAACAGAGGCACTAGTTACATGTTATCCCTAATAATTTTTATTTTTGTAAATCAACGTTTTTTTATTGAGGATTGTACAGAAAATGGAATAAACAATTACGATATGGGCGAAACACGCAGATCCCAAATGTGAAGTAGTGTATTCGACCTCTCCAGGACCGACTACCAGAGTTAAATAAGGCGTAATACTTCAATGCACCTGCACCAGGAAGGTTAAACAGAGTTGTAAATCTCTATCAGGTCAAATATTTTGTCTAAAGGACAGGAACCCAATATTGAGCCAAACTCACGCCCAAAATTATCTATCCCCTCCTTAGGTATATGATCTCATATTGTGACCAGGTCCGGACTGGCCCACCGGGATACCGGGAAATTTCCCGGTGGGCCGTCGGCACCTGGGGCCGGACAGAGAGCTGGCTGTTCCGGCGGCCACATGGGGAGCTGGCTCCTGGTTGCTCCGGTGGCCGCAGGGGGGAGCTGGCTGTGCTGGCTCTAATCCCCCGCCCTTGCGCGCTACTTAATGAGACCAGGGCTGGAATATCCGGTCTCATTAATCTGCACACTGGGAGAGCGGAGCCATCACAGCCAGCTCCCCCCTGCGGCCGCCAGCACACCTGACCCAGCTGTCTGCCCTGCAAGACTCCTGTCCGGTCGCCCACAGGTAGCTATATTATGTGTCAGTCTGTGTGTGTGTGTGTGTGTGTCATGGTCTGTGTCTGTCTGTCATGGTGTGTGTGTGTCATAGTGTGTCAGTCTGTCATTGTGTGTGTGTGTGTGTGTGTCTGTCTGTGTCATGGTCTGTCTGTGTCATGGTGTGTGTGTCTGTCAAGGTGTGTGTGTGTGTCTTAAGGTATGTGTGTGTCTGTCATGGTATGTGTGTGTCTGTCAAGGTATGTGTGTGTGTCTGTCATGGTATATGTGTGTCTGTCATGGAGTGTGTGTGTCTGTCATGGGGTGTGTGTGTCTGTCATCTGTCGTGGTATATGTGTGTGTCTGTCATGGTGTATGTGTGTGTCTGTGTGCGTTTAAAAATAGTGTTTTTACTCACCGTTTTTTCCCCACGCCGTGCTGCAGGGCTGGCATAGATTTTTTTACAGTGCTGCTTTTTATCCCCAGTCTGGCCCTGATTGTGCAGTTTGTCATCAAGGCCAAATAGCTTGAGTTATGACTGTGTCCCCCATTAACCTACAGAAGTAAGGTTACTGGAGTGATGAAATTCTCAATTCCAAGTGGGCTTTCGGGTTGCCTCATATAGTAAGGACTACTCTTGTCCCAACCTGTGTCCCTCTCACCCCTCCCTTGGTGGTTATCGTCAGAAAAAGAAATAGCGATATCAGAAAAAGATATGCATAAAAGTCAAGCAGAGAACTGAGAATTGTTGATCAAGCTAAAAGTAAAATGAAAGAAGAAATAGAAATATAGAAAGCATGCTCGCCCCCCTAAGCCCAATCCTCACTCATCCCAGCGACCCTCCTTGTCAAGAATTCCACCATGGCTGCCATTGATCTGCATGTTTTGCACTTTTTCCCTATCAAATAAGCATGCAGTGCCTCTGCTACTTGAATTTTGGGACTCTATCTTAGTTACAGAGGGCAGGACAGCCAAAGACTTGGCTGTGATGATAAGATTTTATAAAATGAACTTTTTGTATTTCACTATCAGGGATGGTGTGGAATGTAATAATACATTTTGTATGCAAAAGGAGGTGTCTCATTTAGAATTTCACAGGCTCTGACCATATCCTAAAATGACACTATCTGGGTACAGTCCTACCATATGTGTATTACTGTCCTGTCATCCTCCCCACCTCTCCAACATGTTTTCGGTACCAATGGAAACACCCTGTGTAGAAGGGTTATCCCTAATATGTATTTATTTATTTTTAAACCGAGCTTGGATAACCTTAGGAGTGACTAAGCCAATTCCCATAAAAATGTTATTGTTGCCTAACGATTAGGGTATTTTATTTTGCTTTCTAGTCACGTTCGTTCCCCTTCCTTGGCCAAGAAACGGGTTGGATTTTGGATATTGACAATTGTCAACCGTTAGTTCTAACTTTTCAGTATCTGGATGATCCTCTGTGATCACTACATAAAAATTTTTTTGAAAATTGTCACAATAACTCCAGACCCAACATGCAGAGTTAAGACAGGGGTTTTACTCAAATTGTGGAGGTATAAAAGCCGGGCAGCTTGTTTCAAGAGGTACACAAGTTGGGTAGCTTGGTTCTGTTTTAGTTTACTAATCTACTACTGTTTGATGCATAGTGGATTAAACACTTTCCAGTTTTTACAAGGTTACATGTAACTGCCACTTCATTGATGAGAGAGGGTTCATAGTTTAGTGTGATGTATTGTGGTTTCCAAGGAATGATTCTCCCATATTCATTTTGAAATAAAGACTTGTTTCTATTATTAGCTAAATAATTAGTTCAAACTGAGACTTGTAAAAACGTGGAAACTATATATATTTTCACATATATATTTGGCAAGATAGGTTTTTACAACCATAGTTACTGACCTTTATGAAACCCCACATTTTCAGGATGATAGTATATTTTACTGAACTCCACATTTGTTTGCGTACTAGTCTCAGGGCCGCCATCAGGGCATGACAACCATAATGGACTGCCCTGCGACCCGGTATGTGCCCACTGTGGCCAGCCTCTTCTCCTGGGGGGCCCAGGAGCTGGCCATCTCAGGGCCCCCCCCGAGACTGACCCTGGTGTCACCTGGCGGGCGCGGGAGGGAGCACTCTCCCAGGCTGACGTCATCTTCCGGCTCCGGCATCAGTACGCGGCGCGTGAGGGAGCTGAAGAGGAAGCACTCAGCCAGGGAGAGTGCTCCCTCACGCACCCGCCAGCAGGACCGGCCACCGGGTGACACCACTGAACCCCAGGGAATCCCCTCAGCACTCCCACAGGTAGGGAGGCTGGGGGGATGAAATAAAAAAAAAGTGTGTGTTAGGAAATTGGAGGGGGGAGAGAAGAAGGAAATTGGAGAGGGGGGGAGAAGAAGGAAATTGGAGAGAGGGAGGGAGGGGGAGAAGAAGGAAATTGGAGGGGGGAGAAGGAAATTGGAGGGGGAGAAGGAAATTGACGGGGGGAGAGGGGGGAGAGAATTTGACAGAGGGGGGAAGAAGGAAATTGATAGGGGGGGAGAGACTGACATCCATCACACACACACAATCACACACAATGCACCCCTTGCACACAGAAAAAAACACAATGCATTACACACAGAGACACACATACACAAGCAATGCATCCCTTACACACACAGCAACACACAATGCACCCCTTACACACACTCAATGCATCCCTTACAGACACACACACTGCATTCCATACATACACAAACACACCTTGGAGCCCTTACACATACAAACACAGATTCACACAATGCATTCCTTACACACATCACACATCAGGACATCCCCTACACACTCTTCCCCCTGTGAACAAACTGTAACGAGAATATACCCCTACACGCAGGATCCAGCTAAACAGAGGCAAATACAGAGGAGAGATACGTCTACCGGACCTTAGAATGGCCGGACTCGACGTATATGAGAGGAGACAGAGCCAGGAACAAACCGAGGTCAAGGGCACAGAGAGACAGCGTAAACTAGGACAAGCCGGGGTCTGGTACACGGAAAACAGCAAGCCGGCAAACAGTACAGATAAGGATAAAGCGAAAACGAAGTCAGAATACGAAGCCAAAGTCAATACGAGAAAACACAACTGAACACCACAAGCGCTAAAGGGAACTGAAACAGAAACCACGATAGGGCAACGAGCTAAGGGAAAAAGGTAAGTTTAAATAGCTTTTAAACGAAAGTGATTGGCTCCTGTCACTTCCACACCCCCTATAGGTAATTGTACAGGGAGTGTGGTATGACAGGAGCCAATGGGAGCCTTTTGGCAATTAGGCTCCCACTGTCTCTTTAAGAGCGCGCCCGAGACTCGCGGCGCGCTCTTAGTTTCAGGCGGGACACGTGACCGCTTCACGCGGTCACTGCCCGCCTTCCATCTAAAGTAGTCGGATGAGCCGCGCGCGGCTCGTGCAGCCGCAGGACCGCGCGCGGCTTGAAGAGAGGACCGCGACCGGCCCCCGGTTAAGGTAAGTAACGCTACAGTACCCCCCCCTGAGGACACGCCCCCCGGGCGGGTAGGACCAGGCCTGGCAGGAAAACGAGAATGGAAAGAGCGCACAAGACGGGGAGCATGGACAGCATCAGCCGAAATCCAACTGTGCTCCTCAGGCCCATAACCCTTCCAATGTACCAAGTACTGAAGTCGACCCCTAAGGAAACGAGAGTCAAGAACAGCAGACACTTCAAACTCCTCATGACCCTCCACCGAGATAGGAGGGGGAGGAGGAGTATGCCGGGTATAGCGGTTGCGTACGAAAGGTTTCAACAATGAGGTGTGAAAAACATTAGGAATACGTAGATTCTTAGGCAGGCCTAAGGCATAAGAAACAGGATTAACCTTATGTATAATACGATAAGGTCCAATGAAGCGGGGAGCCAATTTCATAGAAGGCACCCGGAGACGAATATTCCGCGTGGAAAGCAAAACCCCTGTCCCCCACAACATAGGACGGAGCTGCTCTGCGATGCTTGTCAGCCTGAGCCTTCTGGCGAGTAGCAGAGTCCACCAAAGAACGCTGAACCTGCTCCCAAGTATTACGCAAACCAGCCAAATGCTCATCCAGAACTGGCATGCCCTGTGAGGAGAATGCAGCCGGAAGAACAACGGGATGCTGGCCATAGACAACGTAAAAAGGGGTCTTGCCGGAAGAATCATGAGTGGCGTTATTCCGAGCAAATTCAGCCCAAGGAAGCAGGTCAGACCAATTGTCCTGATGGTGAGACACAAAACAACGGAGGTATTGCTCCAGAGACTGGTTGGCACGTTCAGCAGCCCCATTAGACTGGGGATAATAAGCGGAAGAAAATGAGAGAGAAATACCCATTTCTGAACAAAAGGCCCTCCAGAACCTGGAAATAAATTGGCTACCCCTATCGGATACAATAGATACGGGAATCCCATGTAATCGAAATACTTCTCTAGCGAAGATATGAGCCAGTTCCTTGGATGTGGGCAACTTGTGAAGAGACACGAAGTGAGCCATTTTGGAGAACTGATCCACTATCATCAGGATTACTGTGTTACCATTTGAAGGGGGTAATTCAACAATAAAATCCATGGACAGGTTAGACCAAGGTCTCTCGGGAACGGGTAACGGATGCAACAGCCCACAAGGAACTCTACGGGAGGATTTCGTACAGGCACAAGTAGTACAAGCACTTATATAGTCAGTGACATCCTTTCGTAAGGAATCCCACCAAAAATACCGAGAAACAGCTGACACCGTTTTGGAAATACCAGGATGTCCAGCAGTCTTAGTATCATGATATAATGACTGGGCACACCCTAATCCCCGTGGCACGCCTATGGTTTGAGTCCTGCAGGAACAGCGTTCCTGCAGGCACTCAGTGCCCCCTGTTTCACATCTTGCCCCTGTCATGGGAGGGCAAGAGGTGATGATTCCACCCACCCTGCAGTTCAGCCGCGGCGAGGGAGCTCTCTGCTCTCTGCTCCCTCTCGCCGCGCGTTGATGCCGGGAGCCGGAATATGACGTCATATTCCGGCTCCCAGCTCCAGCAGACAGCCCGCGCGGCGAGAGGGAGCAGAGAGCAGAGAGCTCCCTCGCCGCGGCTGAACTGCGGAAAGGCGCCCGCCCCACTGGACCCCAGGGAAAAGTCCACCAGCACTCCAGGTAGGAGGCTGGGTGGACATTTTTTTTTTTTAATTAAAATATAATAATTTGTGTGTGTGTGTGTGTCAGTGTGTCTGTGAGTGTGTGAGTATGTGTCAGTGTGAGTGTGTGTCTGTGAGTGTGTGAGTATGTCAGTGTGAGTGTGTGTCTGTGAGTGTGTGAGTATGTGTCAGTGTGTGTTTCTGTGAGTGTGTGAGTATGTGTCAGTGTGTGTTTCTGTGAGTGTGTGAGTATGTGTCAGTGTGTGTTTCTGTGAGTGTGTGTGTATGTGTCAGTGTGTGTTTCTGTGAGTGTGTGAGTATGTGTCAGTGTGTGTTTCTGTGAGTGTGTGAGTATGTGTCAGTGTGAGTGTGTGAGTATGTGTCAGTGTGTCTGTGAGTGTGTGAGTATGTGTCAGTGTGTGTGTGTCTGTGAGTGTGTGAGTATGTGTCAGTGTGAGTGTGTGTCTGTGAGTGTGTGAGTATGTGTCAGTGTGTCTGAGTGTGTGAGTATGTGTCAGTGTGTGTGTGTCTGTGAGTGTGTGAGTATGTGTCAGTGTGAGTGTGTGTGTGTCTGTGAGTGTGTGTGTCAGTGTGTGAGTGTGTGTCTGTGAGTGTATGAGTGTCTGTGAGTGTGTGTGTGTCTGTCTGTGAGTGTGTGTGTGTCTGTGAGTGTGTGTGTGTGTCTGTGAGTGTGTGTGTCTGTGAGTGTGTGTGTGTCTGTGAGTGTGTGTGTGTATATATATATATATATATATATACACACACACACGCGCGGCGTGTGTTTGTGCTTTAGGGTGCACACCCTAATGCAATAGGCTGCGCACGCCTATGATAATGACATAATCTCCCGTCTCTCAGGAACATCAACGAACAGTTTATCATTAGGCCTCTCGCTAGGTGCCATGCTTTGTTTCGCTTGTATGGCCTGCAAGAGGGACGAGGAAATAGACAAAATAGTAGTAGCTATTATCCTGTCTGGGGGAATGACAGGGGTAACATCAATCTCCTGTTTGTCAGTAGTTTCGAACTGTCTCGACAGAGCGTCTGCTTTAGTGTTGCGATCACCTGGCCTATAGGTGATAATAAAATTGAAACGGGACAAAAACAGTGACCACCTAGCCTGCCTGGAAGACAATCTTTTGGCTTCGCTAAGGTAGGATAGGTTCTTGTGATCCGTAAAAATGAGGATAGGATCCTTAGTTCCTTCTAACAAATGTCTCCACTCTTTAAGTGCTAAAATAATAGCAAGGAGTTCGCGATTACCCACATCATAATTTTTCTCTGCTTTGGACATTTGTTTAGAAAAGAAGCCGCATGGATGCAATGGCTTTTCAGGCGACTCTCTTTGGGATAAGATAGCACCTACCCCAATATCCGAAGCATCAACTTCAAGAATATAGGGCAGTGAGGGGACAGGATGCTGTAAAATAGGTGCAGAGGCGAACGTAGTTTTAAGAAATTCAAAGCCTGAAGTGCCTCGGTAGACCAAACACGAGTATTGCCATCCTTTTTAGTCATACGGGTAATAGGTGCTACAATGGACGAGAAACCTTTGATAAAACGTCTATAATAATTGGAGAACCCAAGAAAACGCTGAATAGCTTTCAGACCTTGCGGTAGAGGCCATTCTATTACAGCAGCTAGCTTCTGGGGATCCATACGAAAACCTTTAGCGGAAATCAAATACCCCAAGAACTGGACTTCGGTTTGGTCAAACAGACATTTTTCTAGCTTGCAATAAAGACCATTAGCAAGAAGGGTCTTCAAAACTGTCGTAACATGTCTGTGATGAGAGTGTATATCTGTAGAATATATTAAAATGTCGTCCAAGTATACGATAACAAATGTGTGAATAAAATCTCTTAAGACATCATTAATAAATTCTTGGAATACTGCTGGGGCATTGCAAAGCCCAAATGGCATAACAGTATATTCGTAATGACCGGATCTAGTGTTGAATGCAGTCTTCCATTCGTGATTTTCCTTTATACGTATCAAATTGTATGCACTCCTAAGGTCTAATTTAGTGAACACAGTGGCATGTTTCAGCCTGTCAAATAATTCTGTAATTAAAGGTATAGGATATGCATTTTTGATAGTGATTTTGTTTAGACCTCTATAATCTATACACGGTCTTAAATCACCTTCTTTCTTCGATACAAAGAAGAACCCTGCTCCAGCTGGAGAAGAGGATCTCCTAATAACCCCTTTTCTAGTGATTCCTTAATATACTCCTCCATGACACGGTTTTCTTGAACCGATAAGGGGTACACCCTGCCCTTTGGAGGTATAGTGCCAGGCAACAAGTCAATAGCGCAATCATAGGGTCTGTGAGGCGGTAATTTCTCAGCCTCCCTTTTATCGAAAACAGTCTTTAGAGATAAATACTGAGGGGGTATAACCGTAGACAAAGGAGGACTGGTAGGTACCTCAATAGAATTCAAAGGTGTGACTTCCAACGTACAAGACTCGTGGCAGGTCTCACTCCATGATTTTATTTGCCCTGTCTCCCAGTCAAAAATGGGATTGTGAGCACGTAACCATGGATACCCTAATACTAACTGTGAAGAGGGAGAGGAGATGACCTGGAATCGAATGGTTTCATAGTGTAAAACCCCTGTGTACATGTGTAATGGTACAGTCTCATGAGTAACAACTGGAGAACTTAATGGTCTACCATCTATGGCCTCAACGGCCAAGGGTATCTCCTTCTCTCTGATGGGAATGTTGTTTCTCTTTATAAAGCCAGAGTCTATAAAATTTTCAGCTGCCCCAGAGTCAACCAGAGCATATATGTTGTCAACTATACAAATCTCTCCCATATATAAAGAAACCGGGAGAAGCAAGCGGTTGGGAGGCAATTTAGGAGACTTAGATATCACACCCAAGGCCAGTCCCCTATAAGGTGCGAGAGTTTTCCGGGAGTAAAGGACATTCCTTTACCATATGGTCTCTCCTACCACAGTATAGGCAGAGTCCCTCCCTTCTCCTATGTAATTTCTCAGTATCAGAGAGTTTGGCAACCCCTAATTGCATAGGTTCCTCCTCAGACACTTTAACACTCTCTGATATATTAACTCTGGGGTTAATGGGTGTAACAAAACGTCTATTCCTGTTCTTGGTATAGAGCCTGTCACGAATTCTATTATCTATATCAATGAGGTAATCGATAAGGTCCTCTAAGGCAATAGGAAACTCCTTAGCTGCTACCTCATCCAATATCGTATCTGACAAACCTTCCATAAAGGCAGTAGTTAACCCATTGTTGGTCCAATCTACCTGCGAAGCAAGAGTGCTAAACTGAATAGCATAATCAGCCACAGACCTAGAACCCTGTTTAATTCTCATTAATGCTCTCGCGGCATTCTTTGACCTTTTCATTGTGTCAAAAGTTCTACGAAAAGCCGTAAGAAAACTGTTGAAATCATGTACCATAGGTCCATTAGCTTCCCAAATAGGATTTGCCCACTCAAGTGCCTTATCGGTAAGTTGGTGCATAAAGAACCCAACCTTAGACCTCTCTGTGGGAAATGAACGTGGATACATTTCGAAGTGGAATTCAATTTGATTAATAAACCCTCTGCAAGTCTTAGAGTCCCCTCCATACCTAGGAGGAGGTGTTAAATGGGCCGAAGTATTAGGCAAAGTAGATACTTCAGGGAGAAGGGGCGTAGGAGGGTTAGGTGTGGTTGCTGGAACGGTTCTAGCTAGGAGCGTCTGGAGAGCCTGAGCTATCTGATCCATACGGTGATCCTGCTCTACAAATCTTGCCTCATGGGACGCCATCTGTTGAGCTAAATCTGCGGGGTCCATGGCCCTATCGTAATGTAACGAGAATATACCCCTACACGCAGGATCCAGCTAAACAGAGGCAAATACAGAGGAGAGATACGTCTACCGGACCTTAGAATGGCCGGACTCGACGTATATGAGAGGAGACAGAGCCAGGAACAAACCGAGGTCAAGGGCACAGAGAGACAGCGTAAACTAGGACAAGCCGGGGTCTGGTACACGGAAAACAGCAAGCCGGCAAACAGTACAGATAAGGATAAAGCGAAAACGAAGTCAGAATACGAAGCCAAAGTCAATACGAGAAAACACAACTGAACACCAAAAGCGCTAAAGGGAACTGAAACAGAAACCACGATAGGGCAACGAGCTAAGGGAAAAAGGTAAGTTTAAATAGCTTTTAAACGAAAGTGATTGGCTCCTGTCACTTCCACACCCCCTATAGGTAATTGTACAGGGAGTGTGGTATGACAGGAGCCAATGGGAGCCTTTTGGCAATTAGGCTCCCACTGTCTCTTTAAGACCGCGCCCGAGACTCGTGGCGCGCTCTTAGTTTCAGGCGGGACACGTGACCGCTTCACGCGGTCACTGCCCGCCTTCCATCCAAAGTAGTCGGATGAGCCGCGCGCGGCTCGTGCAGCTGCAGGACCGCGCGCGGCTTGAAGAGAGGACCGCGACCGGCCCCCGGTTAAGGTAAGTAACGCTACCCAAACTCATTGGTGGAACATGAAGGTGGACCCTGGGACCCAGACCTTGAGCTGTGTAAAGGGCCCTCAAAAAATGGAGCTGCTTCCCGTTCTCCCAGAACATTGATTTTTGTGACCACAGTTACAAACCGCCTCCAGAGAGCCTGTTCTACACCAGACCAGTGGAGCCAGACTGCAGCTAGAGCCCATCATCATACTCATCTGGTTTAAGTAGGCAATCTAGTATATTATTCGTGGCACTAATCTCTAATTTACCTCACATTAAAGAAACACTATAGTCCCCAGAACCACCGCAGCTTAATGTAGTGGTTCTGGTGTCTATAGCCTGTCCCTGCAGGCCTTTTAATGTAAACACTGCGGCACTGCAGCACTGGCATTAGTTAACATGGCAGATCATATGGGTGGGACGCCAAACTTTACTTTTGCCTAGGGCGGCAAAAATCCTTGCACCAGCCCTGCAGACACTGCATCCCTGTGGGCGGACTCAGGGGGGGCAGCACTTTGGGCAGACTTGGGTGCAGGCACTGGGGGGCCCAGACCTTGAGCTGTGTCAGGGTCCCCAAAATTTCTGATGGCAGGCCTGACTAGTCTATCTTATGTATTACTGTACATTTTTTTGATTTTTTTAGAGTAATAAGTACTCAGTAACTAGTCCATTTAACCCCAAACTTCTGAGCAGTGTGGGTTTAAGGTGGACCCTCTCATAATCATTATATTAATATCTCAGCCAAGCGAGTTGGGATATAGTGGGCATTTGCCAGTAAGCAAATAGTCTGGGTTCAAATAGGTTCAACTGCAAAAGGCCGGTTTATTTATTTTGAAAATGAGTCTGGTTCCGGGACACATCTAGTAGATATCCAATCTTTGTTTAGTAAATACAAGAATCCTATACACATACGAATGAAAGATTTTAAACCAGGCACCAGATTCTACGGAATGATATTTGCTTTTTTGTAGGTAAGATAATTGCAAATGCAGGTGAAGTTTGATTATGTAAACAATTTTTTTTCAAACTGGACCACTTGTCCTTAATGGGTAGCCCTGCCTGTTCTAATTTTCTTCATGGGACATACTTTAGTATTATGAAATGATCTGTATAGTAGCACATGTAGATGTGAACCATGTAAACATAAGACATCCGCTTCATGTGATCAAATGAGAAATAATCCATAAAAATTTAAATAAAATAAAAATCAGAAGCCTTTAAGCTATTTTCACACATGGGTTGTACCTGCACATGGCTCCTAGGTCAGGCTCTCTTATAAGCCATATATATAGATTACAGTTCTTGCATTTAAATCACAAGCTGTCTAATTGTAATTCAGTAAGATGACGGCTTGTACCAAGCCTAATGTGCTTCAATTTAAACACGTGTACCAGTTAATAAAACATCAAAGGCTTTCAGCTCTTTGAAGTCTCATTCAAATGCATGCTGTAGTTAAAGAAATCAAACAGCGTAATCACACACAGTAAACAAGCAAAACACAACAGTTTAGTTTTTTCTTTGCTCTGATAATCAAATAAAAATGTTTGCTGTGCCATAGACATCATGATTCTGGGACTGATACTAAAGTGTTGGAGGTGCCGTTGGTAATCTGATGGCTTGATGGCCATTCCAACCCAATTTAAATCCCTTGATAAGGTGAAAATTGGAATCCTATCTTTATCACTAATAGTGTCCTTCTGTTAAGTGACAGGTTATCCCTTATTCCCTCATCCATAATATATAGGCATACAGCCCTAGTAAACCAGATATACTCTAGGCAAATATAGCCCACATAGTCTTATTGTCTTCCTGTAATAGTGATGTCCCGAACGGACTCATCATTGAGTAAACTTTGACCCTGTACCTCACAGTCAGCAGACACATTCCAGCCAATCAGCAGCAGACCCTCCCTCCCAGACCCTCCCACCTCCTGGACAGCTCACTAAGAATGCAGCTTCACAATGGATGCTGTCCAGGAGGTGGGAGGGTCTGGGAGGGAGGGTCTGCTGCTGATTGGCTGGAATGTGTCTGCTGACTGTGAGGTACAGGGTCAAAGTTTACTCAATGATGAGTCCGCTGTGAACTGTTCGTGGCGAACCGTTTGGCGAACCGTTCGGGACATCACTATCCTGTAATAGTTCGAATCTTGTGTCAATTCACAAATACCATTATGAATGGAGATTCAGAGAGACCAAACTCATTTTACCCTCTCTTCAGAAAGGCCAAACACACTTTACCCTCTCAAAAATTTTAGATGGAAAATGCGTTTTATGTAACCCAGATGTTGTAGGAGGTGGACTGTGGGTGCTGGGTATTCGTTGTGTTTGTCTGTTTGTTTGCTTTCGTCAAACTGCTTGAAAACAGTATAGTAAAACACATAAGGTTGGTGCCTATAAGATATTTTCACTATATAGTCTATTATAAACTGTAGTGGTTATGGTGCGTTAATTAAAGAATGTAAATATACCACAATGGATCAAAACAACCTATTTAGACATGGATTCCATTTAGATAAAAAAAAAATGCTTTTCAGATGTGTAAAAAATGCTTTTCAGTGACTGCATTCTGTATCGGAGTTGCAGTGCTTCCTCTCAAATCTCGGTATGTGATACTAGTTGCAAATGAGTCTAAGCAACCAGAAATTTAGTTTTTCAACTGATACTTGTGTCTACATGTGATACTGACAACAAAATATTTTACGGAACACATAGCACTTAATATTGAATGGGATTTACCATCCATTGGTATTATTGCCTTGTTCACAATTGCCTATATCAGCAATGTCTCCAGCACACAAACAGATGGAGAAAGCAAGCTCCCAACAGGTAAGCAAACTAACCAGTACCCCACTATTGGATATAGCCAACTTCCTTAAAGGTAGTATACTTGATCAAGGTTCTTTAGAAAGCTAAAACATTGCTTATGTGATAAAAAGTTGCCCTTTTTAATACTGTCAATACGCCTAATTCTAGGGAAAAAAAGGTGAATTGGGGGGTACACCTATAACATGCATTTATTAATAGTGATGCTGCTGTACAGACCAAAAGATATAGAAAATACAGATTAAAGAGACATGCATAATTTTGAGACTAGCTTTGAATGAGACAATTACCTCGCTCTGCAAAGAGAAAACAGAAAAAAAACAGGTATATATGTTTGTTTGTTTTTTTTCATATGTTTACCTGCTTCTCCTTTCCTATGCTTTCCACACCCATTTCATGGGGGACATTGATCTATTCAGTCAGTGTCCTATCCCTAGGAATGCTGAAAAAGCCCATTGGGCATGTCTGACAGATTTACACCTTTGCAGCTGAAAGATCTCTTCAACTCTGCAACAGCCTGACATGGGAGAAGAGAGGAAGTCTCATCACTGTGATTCATGCAGAGAAGGCTTTGGTATGATGTCCTGTTTCTGTCATTACTGGACTGGTCTGAAACTGAAATGGCTGAGTAAGAGGGATGAGGGAGGTTGATTAAACTCCTCTAATTGAAAGGTGTACCCAAACATGCAATCGTACAAAGTTTACAATAAATTTACACTGATCCGCCACAACATTAAAACCGCCAGCCTAATATCATGTAAGTCCCCCTAGTGCTGCCAAAATAGCTTTTATGCGTCGAGGCATGGTCTCCACAAGACCTTTGAACATGTTGTATCTGAAACCAAGTCATTAGCAGCAGATCCTTTAAGTCCTGCAGGTTGCGAGGTGGAGCCTCTGTGGATCGGATTTATTGTTCCATAACATCCCACAGATGCTCAAATGGATTGAGAGCTAGGGAATTTGGAAGCCAAGGCAGCAACTTGAACTCTTTGTCATGTTCCTCAAACCATTCCTGAAAATGGTTTACAGTGTGGAAGGGTGCATTATCCTTCTGAAAGAGGCAATTGCCATCAGGAACCACATTGCCATAAAGGGATGTACGTGGATAGCAACAATCTCTAGGTAGGTTGTTCGTGTCAAAGTAACATTCACATGAATACCAGGACCAGCAGAACCTTGCCCACAGCATGATGCTGCCTCAACAGTCCTTCTTTTTTCCCATAGTGTGTTCTGCCATCTCTTACCAATATAAAAGACACACACATACCCGGTTATACACCTGATCTAAAAGCATACATGATTCATTAGACCACGTGACCTTCATACCTGCATACTGGGAACATGCCACAAGACTTGCTGTTTTGGAGATGCTCTGGCCCAGTTGTCTAGCCATCACTTGGTGGCCCTTGTTAAGTCACTCAGATCTTTTCACTTGCCCATTTTTCCTGCTCCCAACACATGGAATTCAAGAACTGACTGTTCACTTGCTTCCTTATTTATCCCACCCCTTGACAGGTGTCATTGTAACATTACAATCAATGTTATTCACTTCCCCTATTAAGGGCTTCGATGTTGTGGCTGATTAGTGTATAAATGTTTATAACATACTTTAGTGCTTTAGTAGTTTTTCTTGCTTTATTTTGGTTTGTATATTTGTTTTAATGTGTTTGCTGGTTTTAAAAAAAGAAAGTCAATTGATTCATGTTCTTTTAGTGGAACAGTGCAGAAGCCCCAAAAATATAGTTATAAATCTTAGAATGCTACTTAATACTTAAACGACCTATCTTAGTAAACAAATCTGGAGATATGTTCACATAAAGGCTATACCGGACTAAGTCCACCACTTCATCACAGAACCCCAATATTGGTGCGTTACTTTGATGAAGTGGTGGGTTTAACACGGTACGGCCGTATGTTGTGACCATATCCCCACATTTGTTTGCTAAGTAGCAATTAGAGATTTAAACTGTATATTTTTTTGCCTGCACTATTCTTTTAATCTGTTCTTTGTGAACCCAGTCCTGTATGGATATTAGCTATGTCTGTAGCCCCTGTAACATCTACCAATTTGTCTTCCAGAATGGACTTGAAGACTTTTACTATTCTAATATAACTACATCCGAAAGATAAATGCCATGCCATGATCCAATGAAGGAATGAAATAAACAATAAACAGAAAACTATCTAATAGCACAAATTATTTCTATCAACACATCTATTAACAGAGTCAGGGTTTAGGGGGACAGCAGATAAGGACAAGAAATATGGATCATTTGAGTGACAAGAAGGGACCCAGTAAATCACTTTAGTCTCCTGTCCTGTAATAACTCTACTGTCCAGCGAGGCAGACAGATCTCCTGTCCATCGTCTGTCACACCAAAGAGCCAGAATGGCATAGAAGAAATACAGGACATTTTGCTTACTGAATAGGCTACAAAATGTGTCTCACTGGAGTAGTATAAAGAGATATAGCTGCTAGTTCATCATATCCAGTCTTCCTCTGCCACCACAATGAAGCATGTATGTTGCCCCCTGGTTTACATACGAACTTTAACTCCAGACCTTGTCTTAAAAAAACCCTATATATTGGTGGCACTTCTGAATGATAGCTGTAGCAGAATCAGACCAGATTCTCAGAACCTTGGCCCTAAACTGGGCCAGATACCACTCAAGCACTGGGAGTGGAGAGGACTAGAATGCCCTTTAAATCCTATCAGCTGCTGGGTTGGGGCTTGCGTCTTGATGTTCTGCAATTTTTGGGATGAAGTGTGTTACTCAGGCAGTAAGCCCATCAAAGTTATTGGACTCCATTGTTGAAGGTGGCAGAGGCATCCAGTGGCTGTCAGATAACGCAATACAATCTGCTTCTGCTACTTAACTCGTTTCCTGACACCAGCTCCCAGGCCTGTGCCAGCTCATTAAGTGTGATGGTGAGTGGCAGTAGCAGCAGAATGGCTTCAATCAGATTAAATTTTCTGCTGTGGTCATAAATACAAGCTAAATGTAACATAAAAAATTCAACCATCTCCACACCCCGGGATTGGTTATGCACTAGAGCTTTATTCCCATTTAGGTTCTCTCCTAATACACCACTGGGTAAAAAAACTTTCTGCAGGAATTATCATGTATGTGTACGATCACTGATTTAATTGGAAGTCCACATATAAACGGTTAGAAATTTGAAAATAGAAATGCTGTGTGCTAGATTGGATTGATGATGGATTTTAGAAGTGTACAATAAAAATAATAATAATGATTTGCAATTTTTATACCACTTTTCTCCCTGTGAGACTCAAAGCACTTTACAAATAAACAAACATAAAGACATAAAAGTTAGGAGTTTCTGAAGGTCAAATGAGCGGACTGAATGCCTGATGGAAGAGGTGGGTCTTTAGCCTTTTTTAAAAAGTCTGTAAGGACGGTGCCTCTCTGACTGCGCACGGTAAAGAGTTCCAAAAGGTAGGAGCAGTGCGGCTTAATGCCCTGGAACCTGAGTCTGTCTTTATTCTTGACATAGACAGAAGGGATTTGCTGGCTGACCGAAGTGAATGAGATGGAATGTAGGGTGTCAAGAGCTCTTTCAGGTACTGTGGGCCTTGATTGTTTAAGGCTTTGAAGGTCAGCAGGCCAATTTTAAAATATGTTCGCCATTTAATTGGAAGCCAAAGCAGGGAGTGGAGAACAGGTGCTTTGTGGCAAGAGCAGGTTTGATTGGTCAGTAGTCTGGCTGCTGCATTTTGTACTGTCTGAAGGTGATGGAGTTCTTTTTCTGGGAGGCCCAAGTAAAGTACATTGCAGTAATCTACACGAGAGGATACAAATGCATGAATTAATGTTGGCATATCATCCGGTGGAATTAAGTGTTTTATCCGATGAAATGTTTTTCAGATGAAAGTAGGCAGATTTTATCATGGAGGTAATCTGTTGTTTAAATGAACGTCCAGAATCAATCAGCACTCCGAAGTTTCGTACCTTTGATGAACTAACGATTTCAGAACCTCCTTCAGGCTGGGGCAAGTGTTTCGATGCATCCAGGTATGAGCTGAGTTGGAGTCACACATAGTAGGGTGTAACTTTTGCATGGTTCTTTTAACTTCCTTTATATCCACATTTGTAAAAGTGGACCATAAACTGGGGCGATCTGGCATTCCATTGTAGTGGTTCTGGTGTGTAACTGTTTGGCCTGCTGTGATAGAGGCTCGGATTGAGGAAATCTTGTCTCTGAAGAAGATCGCAAATGCTTCACACTTATCCTGAGAAAAGTTGGTGGGGATATGCATGCATGCTGGTTTTCAGACCCTTTCTACTGTGCGAAACAGTTGCCTGGGTCTATTGTGGGAGAGTGCAATTTTGCGTGATAAAAATTAAGATTTTTTCTGAGTTATCTTGAATATCTTGATATTCATTTAGATGTTTGGTAAGAGCGGCTTTATCCCCTGGATCATGTGTCCTGCTCTACTTTCTCTCGAGTTTACAAAGATATATATAAAAGTATACATATGATGATAAAGCATTACATCAGTATATCTATAAATACTTTAATGCTCAATCTTCCAACACTTGATTGATGATATAAAACAGGTGCCAACATCACATGTAAAAGTGTGTGATCACAGACTTTATCAACTGTTCACTTAAAAATGCTTTGAGGATAATGAAACTCTCATAGTGTTACACTATATGAGCACCAAGGGTCATGAACTGAAGTAAAATACTTAAATTAATAATTCCAAAATATAGAACAAAACAAAAAATGAATAGATCTATCTATATTTTGATTCTACATTATCAACGCCAGTCTGCCAGTAAAGAAAGATCAGACTCGGTACTCATTTTATTTTGGAACAAAACATACTACACAATACTACGCTGATCATCATATGATCTGGGAGTGCAACTGCTCACGTCCATTTAATTTTCGACTGTTGTGTCTCTAACGTTCTATTTGTTGGAATTATGGCAGATGGGCTGGCAAGGAGTTATAGAGGATGAAAGGTAGCAGCAGGCCATGTAGCTGTCTGGCCACGGTATTTACAATGATGTCTAAAAGTGTTTAGACACATCACAGCCTCTCTGCTGACCTCTATAAACATTTTTAGTAGGCCTTGATTATTATAAATGTAATTATTAAAGGTGCAACTTAACCACAACAGCCCAGAGTAGCGCTGTTACAAATCTGTGGGATGCTTCCTCCCTTTTTTTTGGCAAGTTGATTGTTACCAAAATTACAAAAATCAGAGTTTTTTTTCTGGCCCACAATGCTTCCAGCATACTGCCTTACAAGTTGATAAAAAACAATGGGATGTTACCCAAAGCCTATATGTAGCACTGTAGCACAGGGTAGGCACTCAAGATGTTTAGGAATACAACTCCCATAATGCTTTGCCAACATTATAGTCCACAGCATCTGGAGTGCCAAAGGTTACATAACCACTGATGTAGCATAACCACTACACTCCAGTGCTCTGGATGTGTACCGGCTTAGACTATCCCTTTAAAGACTAGCTTTTGTTTATTATAGTTTAATAAAATTGAATTAAAAAAAAAACCTGAAACATGTAGCAATATAGCTCATTTTAAAAATTCCAAGTCAGATATAATCACAATTTAGCTATTTTAGATTACATTTTGGAATTTAGTTCTCAATTCACCACTTTTCAGTGTTTAGTGAATGAACTACAAAAAACAAAACAAAAAAAAACCTATTCCAGAGAAATTTTGTAAGTAGTGATTTACCAACTTCAATAGGTAGCAGACTTTCTAGATAAATATCCATTATGTAATTATTGTATCCAACAAGTGCTGATATTACTATTCCCCATCAAACACCATTAATGACTAATATTAAACTGCACTAAAGAAGCCATAACTTCATAAAAGGTCCCCTATGCACTCTACACTTGTGCCTGAACATTAGAACGTCTGGTTTGTGGGACAGAAATTTTCTATAAAGTGTGACCTACCCAGAGACATGTCAATTTTCCCATTGTCCGGATGGAACCCAGGGTCTGTCTGATCTTGTTCTTCCATGACTGAAGCTCCAGGGGAATTAACAACGAATGAAACCCAAGACTTTGACTGTGTGGCTGGCAGCTGTGCTGAGCGTGCCCCCTCCCGGCTGGAGTGTCAGATGAGTGTCATCACAACTCTCAGTCATTAACTACCATGTATGGAGGCAGCCAAAGTGGGACAGCAGGCACACTCACTGCAAGGCACAGTGACAGGTCAGTGGAATGGTCTGTGGAATTCCAGCGTCATGGGCAATTCTTTAACCCTTTTAGCACCAGGTGTTTTCAAAAGCTCCCTATGCCAAGTTGCACAGTGACAAGCACTGGAACATTTACATGAATATTCATTAAACTGTCAACTGTTGGGAATTTAAAATTAATTGTTGGTAGTTCAAAATAAATTTTAATTTTTGTGAAAATAACTGCATTGGAAAAGTTATATGAGTCATTTGATTTTATTGTGTAATTTTGGCTTAATTTTCATTTTTTTGCAGTGGATATATTTTTGTTGAGTTTTACAAAGTTACAAAACAAAGGAAAGACAATAAACAGAAGGACTTATAGTGCACACCCATACATAGGTATAAATAGACACAACTAACTTTCCAAAGGATTGGCAGGTCATCCTGATATGAACTCACACCAGGCTTCCTGACCATCATTCAGGTCAGCCCGCTGAGGGCAGACCCAGTAGGGTCCTAATGCCCTGAGCATAGACTGAGCATATCTAATGTTGCACATGCACTATGCTTGTTGGGGACAGGTTACCAAAACTAAGCTGGGATAGGTGGACATGGCCCAAAGATCCTACCAAAATCAGGATGGCTGCAGTACTCTGCCAAAGGCATCCCAATTCATCTGCTTCTACTTTAAGCCACAAAAGATGGTACCTCTCTTTTCAGTTGCTCGTCACACAACTAGTCTTTTCCATAGTCCAGTCTACTCTCTCACCTTCCTCTCTTTGGTTTTTCTATACGCCAACTTGCCTAATTTATGTTCTTCTTCATGTGTTACTTTAACTCATCCTCATAGATTGTAAGCTTATTTGAACAGGGCCTTTCTCACCTCTTGTCTCGGTCAACATTATTTTATTAGTTGATTACTTGTAAAATATCCCCATACTATGACTGTAAAAAGAGCAACCTGTTGTGCTATATAGATGGTAACAATAATAATAAGAGATTGCAGCCCACCACGCCTGTATGGGCTTCACAGTGAGTCAGAATGGTATCCAGATATTACATTATCGCCCAGCTCATATTTTGGACCACACATGCGTAGATAGAGCAGTGAGAATGTTATTCTCTCTCTGCACCTCCACTGTCAAACCTGTCCAGCCTGGATTTCAGTTCAGATATTTTTTTTACGGAAACTGGGCTTCCAGCTCAAACTTTGAACTTGTTCAGCACTGCTCAATCTATACTTCACCTGGATATTCTGCATGCCCAATCCTTGACCAATTCTCTGCCATGATCCAGGTTTACTGTTTGTTGATAGTTCTTCTACAGATTGACAATCTTCATCTAGTTTGACTTCTCCTGATTGTAATTGTAATGTGCTAATTGATAACTGTGTAACTATTAACCTATACAAAGTTTTAGAGTTAGAAAGGATGAACTTGGTGAATTCATGTCTCTTTTCAGCTATGCAACTATGTAACGTTTTATAATTATAAGAATTATGCTACAATAAATAAATCAAATGTCCAACATATTCTGTGAACCCAAGAAGAATACATGTGCAAGTTTTAACAATTCATCACAAAGATACATGATGTATTCCATGTACATTTTTGAGCCACCATCATCCGCTCCGGTGCTGCTATTTTTTGTCTTTGTGGGTGGTACTCTACTTGTAATCCACCTCCGGTCTGCCCTTTGGGATGCTTCCCCTAACTGGGCAGACCTCCTGTGTAATGCAGACACACTTGTTTCTTTGCCAGTTATTACACTCCTTTGCCAGTACTAGCAGTGATCGCTAGAGTTACCATAGCAACCACAGCACATGTGCTGTGGTTGCTATTTGCGGAGAGGAGAGAGAATTGACTGACAGATGGGAAATACCTGTTTTTGGATAGGTTTTTATTCCAATTTACACATTTGCTAGCAAATCTTTACGATATATAGATAACATTTTCTGCACTTTCCAAAAGGGAGACTATGAAAAACAAAACAAAAACTAAAAAAGGTATGTTATTAAAATTTTAGTACCATGCTCACGGATTAGGCTACCAATTATACCTAGAGTCGTGGTAATTACAAAAATAAATTATATGTGCTTTTTAGATATAAATTATAAAATGCATGAATGCTTTTAGAATGGGGTGCTAAATTTGCCTCATTTTTATTTTGGAAGAAAAACTCAATATTCTTATATTACACTACGTAACACAGCTTCTGTAATGGTAGAATTTATGAGGGTCGATAATGCCTTTGTTGTTTGTATATATTTGCTTACTATTATTATTAACATTAGGACATTCTATATTGTCTTCCACGTAGTGGTCTCTGTTTTGGTGCGAGCAAGTTTAATTCCTGCTCACACCAGGGAGAATCAGGTATTAATCAGTTCTGAGCCAGCCCCAGTCCCCAGGGAAATTAACAGGGTCTGAAATGATGCAAACAGGTTCTCCCTCCATGACCGCCTACCGATTGTGATTCGTGGTGGACTATGCCAACTGCCCAGCACCGATCACTATGTGATCAGCAGAGACAGCTTGCCAAAGATCCAGCAAGAAAGAGAGATCTTTCTATCATGCTGCAATCACCCAGTAGATAGCGTTAACAGACCACTCTCTGTTTTAGCTGGAAAATCCCATCTCACTGTTAATGTCAGCATATGGAATCCCTTTGAGTTAGGGTTAGCATTAGGTTAGGGGTAGGGTTAGTGTTAGGGTAAGTAATGGTTATTGCTGGGTTAGTGTTAATACTATTTTAGCGTTATGGATAGTGTAGGGTTATGGTAACGGTAGGGTTGGTAAAGGGTTAACGTTAACTAACAAAAATGTATTTAGACCCTAGACATTTGAGGTACTGAACAAGCAGGACTAATACATGCATCTATTACGAATTATATTTCTTTAGTTGCACTTGATGTGTACTTAAAGGGATACTATAGGCATTAGAACAAATTTAGCATTATGAAGCAGTTTTAGTGTGTAGATCATGCCCCTGCAGTATCACTACTAAATTCGCTGCCATTTAGGAGTTAAATTACTTATTTTTCTGTTTATGCAGGTCCAGCCAGACCTCCCCTGGCTGTGACTCACACAAGAAATAATGTTATCATTTTCAGTCAAACTGTAACTTGGCTTAGAAGCTTTTATCTATCCATAGTAGATTTTATGTTAAATGCATCCATTCTAAGGTCCGGTAATACGTTTAATATTTTCTGTATTCTATATTGGTTACTTGAAATCTGCATATTGGGTAACAGTCAACAGTCAATACAAATACACCCCTAAAGTCAAATTGCAATATTACACACATATACACAACTCTGCAATCAAATGGCAACACTACACACAAACACACCCCTACATGCAAACATCAACACTACATACAAATAAATCCCTGCATTCAGACTCCGAAACTGCATGCAAACCACACTCAAACACCAACACTACACACAACTACACACTTACAGTCACACACACCTACTCCACTCAAATACACAGGCACTACCCACATACAGCTCTGCAAGGATGGCCAAGTGGTAAATTCCCAGCTGGCAAAGCATCATGGGAGTTGTACGACAGTTAAGGATTTACCTTTAGGCCATCCTTGTGCTAAGGAGGGGTGGGGGGATGTTAAAAAAAATTCCTTGCACCATGGCCCTCTCTTTGTTAGTACTGTCACTGACAACATTCCTTTTACCAACAGGATCTTTAAAGCGGAACTGTCACTAATTGCTTAATAATTATGCTCAGTCATGCATGCTGGGCACAGCATATAAATTAAATTAACCCCTGCACTACAGAATGCATGGCAAACGCACATGTACTGTATTACTGAAGGAGTGCCCGAGCGTGCATGTTCTTACGTAGCATTTCTCCGTAGAAGCCCAAGTGTGTAAAAAATTTGAATAGCAGCAGAAGTAAGTATTTTTTTTATTTAAATAAAATAAATCCAATATTATAAAAAAGAAATGCTAAAAATATATATATTGCATTTTCATTCAAATAGTAGTACAGGAGTGTTTACAACGCTATCCGGTATGGAAATGATCTTAGAGGACAGCATACGAAGAACACATACATTTTGATATATACATTTGCTACCTAGCTTGTATTAATATTTGGCAATTTACTTTTTCTTTTAATCACACCCATGCCACACTACTCAACTAAGGTTTATCTGCAGGGACCAATGTGCGTCACAATCAATAGGTCTTTATAGAAATACGATAGAGTCATAAACTGCCAATTCACACACCTATCAGTTATACCATTGAGGACTCGGAGCTCCTATATTCTCTCCCACATTCTCTATACATTAACTGGATAACTCACTAAAGTGAGAATTCAAAGTGAATTTCAAATTTAAGGTCAAAATAACTAAACTAGAAAAAATGTCTAAGCCAACCATTCTTACAGTTTGTCTACTCTGTCCTTAAATTTGAAATTCACACGCTAATTAAAAACAAAGATAAAATTACATTTAAAGTCACAGAGGTTATTTATGCTAATGGTGTTCATTTTGGCCAGGACTTCCCTAACACACATTTAGGGATATTCACATTATTGGGAATTCAATGTAAATTTCACATTTAAGGTTAAAATAGCCAAAATGAAAAAAGGATCCGACTTGGCTGTTTCCAGTTCGGGTAGTTAAATGTAAAATTCACTTTGAATTCCTGACAGTTCTCATTGCAGTAAGTAACCCTGAAAGCGACACTCTCACACATACATAAATACAAATAATTTTAATATTATTATTTTATTATTTATATCGAGCCATCAGATTCCATAGCGCTGTACAATGGGATCACTCCCAAACAACGGTGCCATGATATCACTCTCAAACAACGGTGTTATGATAATGCATCCGAGTAAAAGCTGTTTACTGAGAGGGTAGTGGATGCATGGAATAACCTTCCAGCTGAAGTGGTAAAGGTTAACACAGTGAGGGAGTT